GTAGCAGTTTCAAGGGTTTTTTTTTTTGTTTGTTTTCTGTTTTTTAATATATTTGTTTGTTGCAGGGTCTCACAACACAGCTCAGACTTGTGGTGATCCTTCTGCTTTCAGCCTACCCAATGTTGAGATTATAGACATGTGCCACCAGGCCAGCACTCTGACATGGCTGCCCTGGGGGTGGGGCTGGCACAGCATGTGGTGCTGGGGATTGAACTACAGTCTCTGCACTTGCCTAAGCAGGTGCTTTAGTCTGCTGAACTATCTCACCAGCCCCAGATATTGCTACTTTAGATGTGTTAGATAGATTTTTCCTACTTACAGAGAACCTCAAAACTGTGTACTATTGCATTTTTTTTTTTTTTTTTTTTTGCGGTACCAGGGATCAAACTTGGGACCTTCTGCTTGCAAGGCAGGTGCTTATGCTGTTGAGCAGTCTTCCTGGCTCCTTGTAGAGGTTTCAATCCATAATCAGCTGACTCTAAGGAAGGGTAGCACAGGGCAAAGAGGCAGCCATTTCTGGCTGTGGAAGATGGTAAAGGCAATCAAGGGGGAGGACACAGGATATTTTCTGTCTCTTCCATTGTATGCAGGTTACCTAACCTAGGGCAAGTATAGCATTTATACCCTTAATCCTTGCCAAACCAATCAGTGGAGAGATTTATTAATCACACACCCTTAATCTCAGCACTATACAATCTAGATTCAGTCACATAACTCTTAAAAAGCCCTATCGCCGCATGAGGCTTTCAGGGGACATCTAGACCCAAAGTGTCACAGGCACTTTCTTACTTTTTGTTTGGTGGTTTGCACTAACTCCTCTCTTTGCTGTCTCATCTTCTCTCCAGCCCTCATACTCTGTGTTTATCTTTCCTGCTTTTTCTCTGCTGTCTTGTGGGATGTGCTGCACTAAATTTTTAGCATTCCTTTTTGTTTCATTTTATGCTGTGTTTTTTATGGACTTTAATGCTTACTTGTCTGTAGAGGTTTGGGTGGTTTCTTACCATCTTACATCTGTCTTTAATGTGTTAAATGTTTGCGGGACAGTTCTGACATGCTAATGTCCTTCAAAGTTCATATTCCCATGTGTGTCATTTCTGTTCACTGTTGTCCTTACTATGGATTTGTTTTACTATTTTGTAGGTCTGGTAAGAAGCAGTTCCACTGCATAGGAGAACAGGAGTTGCTTCAAAGCAAAGTCCTTGATGGTTGAGCAAACAGATGGACTAGCTACTTCCTGAAAAATAGAATACAGTTTTTACTTGAAAGAATGACTGACAGCCAAACTATACTTGTTCTGACAGACAGGCTTTCTCAGGAAGAGGAAATAAGAAGTTTTGTTGCCAATGATAAAATTCAGTGTTTCTGTATTACTTTTCCGTTGATGGAGCTATGTACCTTCCAGATACAACTTAAAAGAGAAAAAGATGGTTTTGTCTTCTGATTTCCAAGGGTTTCTGTGATAAGCTGGCTTGAGGCAGAAACATGGTAGAGAAGCCTGGCAGAGAGAAACCTACCTCATGGCAATTGGAAGAAAGACAGACACAGACAGGGCAAGGGGCCGGGCAGAAACACACCTTCTAGGTCATGCCGGGTGACCCACCTCCCCTGACCACACCCCACCTCCCAGTAGCACTTTCAGCCATGAACTGATGGATGAACACAGGAGCCTTTAGGAGACATTTTGGATCAAACCGTAACACTAGTAAATCCTTGAAGAGGGAATTAATGACAACCACTTCTGCCTCTGCTTACATAAGTAAACATGGAGAAAGCTTTTAATTTGCAGACTTTCATGTGTCTTCTACCTCAAGGAATCATTTCAGCTCCTGAGTTGTGAGTGGGTACTCATAAAAGCAGCAGGCCAGCAGAGAGTTCAGGCAGATGGGAGAATTCAGCTGTTTTCCTTTAAGTGGTAAAAATATTTAACACCTTATCACAAAAATATGAAACAAGACAAAGCCATAAAACAGTGCTACTCTGCTCATTCAGAATTTTTTTTATTTGGAAAAATATTTTTTCAGTTATTTATATTAACTGAGTTTATTATTATTTCATGCTAAGTGAATTAAGAAATAACCTATGTGAAGAAATTGTCCATTTTCTAATCTGGCAAGTATCAATAAATACAACCCAAACAAAGGGTTGCAAGATCCTTGGTATTTTATGGTGTAAAGGGGCCCTGAGACCAAAATGTTGGAGACTTCTGGGATGTATCTTTTTCCTTGGAATTCTGAGGTTCCTGCCACACCCTTGGCATCGACAGCTGAGCTGTAGGCCAAATGAGGGAGGAGGGATTCCAGATGAATGGACAGTGCTGTTATCAGGAACCAGAATGTTTTTCCAGAAAGGCTCCACATACTTCCCCTCATCTGCCACATGGCATGGGAAAGTCAAATGGTGGAGCTGGTTCTGCTGGTGGGTAAGGGAGGTGGGTATCAGGGATGGGCAGTCATGTTTATTACCTATGGAGTTTTGTTTGTTTGCTTCTTGTCTTTTAATAACTGGTACTGGCAGGGAGATGCCAAGTGAAGCTCCTACCAGCTCCTCTTCCTTGTTTTGGTGCCTCTAGCCCTTGTCTTCTCCATCATCCTTGGCTCTACTCTTCTAGTGTACTTGACTTTGTGATTCTACCCTCAAGGTATGTTCTGTGGGAGCCAAACATGAGCTTGCAAAAATAGTGCAGGACTGATCACATTGTACAATGCCCTGTCCTTCAACAGAGCTTCTCTTTATCTTTGAAGTGATTTAGTAACTTTGTACATTTACACAACTCTTTCTCACACCCTTAGACTTTCCCAGTCTGTCTATCTCCTTCCTGATGAGTATTCGTTAGCTCATCTTGTAAGCTTACTGCTAACCTTTACCAGAAACTTAACAGTAGTCACAATTGCTTTAAAAAATGAAAAAAGAGTCCTAGCCTTTTTGGATTATTCTGGTTTAGGATCTGGTATGAAACATGAAAAGTGTGGTGGGGAAGGGGGAAGACCTAGAGTAGATCTGAGTGAGACAGCAGGGAGAAGGGGAGAAGAGGGCAGGCATCTGCCTCAGACATAGGGAAGGAAGAAGCAGGGAAGTGGGCCTCTCCTGTGGCTTTCTGCTAGGGAGGATGACAGCAGGGAGTCTCTCTCTCCTAGTCAGTGACTTGAGTATTAAAGAGCTTATCAAAAGACCAATGTGGTGTCACACACCTATAATCCCAGCACTTAAAGGCTGAGGCAGAAAGTTTGTTGCAAGTTTGAGACCGGTCTTGGCTACACAGTGACTTTACAGCCAGCCTGAACTGTGTAATGAAACATGCCTCAAAAAGAAAAAATAAAAAAAAAAAAAAATGCTGACAGAAGTAATTGGCTGAGGATTGTAGGGTTTGGGCATTGAAGCTTAATTTTGACCTGAACTCTTATCTTTGGAAGCCTGATTCCAGTTCTTGCCATCAGGGTTCAGCAGACTTTCCTTCTTTCATCAGAAGATGCATTCCTACCATGGGAAGGCACCTTCCTCATCCATGGACCACTTAAGCACAGCACTGTGAGGCTGCCATCAGGCCGAGGGCCAGGGAGCAGACTTGGTGTTGCCCTATTTGGTGCCTGACACAGGCATTTGCATGGAGTAGCTGCATGGTAAATAAATGGAGAGCAAATGACTGACTGGAATGAAGCCTGACATTTGCTTTCTAGAGCATAGCTCTAGACTGTGTTCCTTAACTTTTTAGGTTCTTTATTAAATCCCAGTAAAGGAATATTCAATAGCAATGTTGACAGGGAATAGGAGAGTAGAATTAGGTGTACCTAGGAGTATAGGAGCAGCCATAAATATGGATAGAGTTCAGGCTTTAGAACATCCCTGTCTAAAGGGTTGCAACTTGCAACACCCCAGGAGGTCCACACCTGGGTTGTGGCAGTCGCAGGAATATGAGGAATGAGGACTGAGGAGTCTGTCAGCCAAGAGGGACACAACCAGCCTTTCACAGTAGGGCATGGAGAGTGGCACTGATAGCCTCCTGGGCATGCTCCTTCAGGCCCCCCTCCTCCAGGTGTGGACCTCCCTTCACCTTGTGTCACAGATACAGCCAAACAAGCCATGGATCCTGACAGGAGGACTTGAATGATGTGACAGAACCTGTCTTCTGTCTCAGTCTAGGACTGTATCAATTACTCTAACAAGGAAAGCAGAATAAAGATTTATATCATATTTATGCCTTCAAGCCATGAGTCCTACAGTGCAGATAGTCTGTAATTTGGTTTGGGAAGGAGAAAATTCAGTCTCTGTAAAGCTGTTTTCTCCCTGTGTCTTCATATGATCTGTCCTCAGTATGTCTCTATGTCCTAAAAACACCAGCTGTTGTGTATTAGGGTCCCCCAGTGATCACCTCTCTAAGGAGCTGATCTCCATGACACAGTCACATTCTGAGGTACTGGGGCTAGAGCTTCAGCATGGGATTGAGGGGATGCAAGTGAGGATGTTATAGGAGGTCCTCTGAAAGCAGGAAGACCAGGGCAGAAGTTAATCAAAACTCCAGGTGAGAAACAGGAGAACCTAGACTACGACAGTGGTGACAAAAGCAGAAACTAGGACATTTGTGACTGGGGTGGAGGAGAGAGAGAGAGGAAGCAGTAATGCCCCAGGGAATGCAAATACTCCAGGGAAGATATGGAAGCATGGCGATGTCCTGCTAATCGTCCAGCACCAGCCCTATATGTCCTATGCTGTGCCCTACGCTGCAGTGGTTCTCACCTGAGCCACACTTGTGTGGTCCTGAGACAGCTCCTACTGTCTTGTGGTACAGTCAGCTCCAAGCTCTTGTTCTCTTCCTGAGTTTCTTTAAGGGAGGGGCTGCTGTGCCATTCTTGGTTGATGGTTTTCCAGTGTCAGCAGGGTGGTTCGTGCCAGGCACGTTCTGATTTATAGGGTGATGGGTCTGTAGGATTTGTGTGGTCAGTTACTTGTTCATTCCACATTTTAGTCAGAGCTCCATACTTAAAACCTCTTTGGCTTTTTTACAGAATGAGAAGACTTTGGGACATTCCATGAGTCACTCCAGCAGCATTTCTAAGGTAGAGTGCACAGTTGTGTGTCATGTTGGTGCTCAGGGGCCTTTATCTCCTGCACCATGCATGGGTTTCTACACCGTCTTCTGAAGACACAAGCTTCTCCGTTGGGTCTGTAGTCTGCCCTGGGGCCATCGAGGTAGGGGGCAGTGGTGTTTTGCTAGTCAATCAGAAAGTGACTTGTGGAGGAAACTCTGTTCTTCTAAAAATTCATATACTTTGTAGTAGAAGAAATCTCCCTCACAAGGGAACCTGCTACCTCAGTTAGGAATCTGTTGGACACAGAGTCAGCTATGATGATATAGATGTGCATCTGTATGTTTTATATGGCATCTGGAGGCCAGCAGTCCGTGGCTGTATTCTCAAAGACATTGTCTGCATCTGGCTCTTCTTCCTGTGCCATCTCCCTTAGGACGCTGCTGCCCTCCTGCTTGCCACAGGTCTCAGGTAGGAGCAGCACACCTGGGCTGTGGCAGTGGCAGGAATACCAGGAGTGAGGACTGAGGAGTCTGTCAGCCGAGAGGGATACAACCAGCCTTTCACAATAGGGCATGGGGAGTGGCACTGATAGCCTCCTGGGCATGCTCCTTCAGGCCCCCCTCCTCCAGGTGTGGACCTCCTTTCACCCTGTGTCACAGATACAGCCAAACAAGCCATGGATCCTGACAGGAGGACTTGAATGACGTGACAGAACCTGTCTGCTGATAAACAGCTACTGTACATACTATTTTAATTTACTAACTACACACATTTCACTAAGGTTACTATGATTTTTTTAAAGTAAAAGATCTAGTAAATCTCACAAGATATTTTACTAGTCTGTATGTAATCTTAAATTTGCATCGAAAGAAAAATCTGTAGTGCATGACATTGCAGATGACTTGCAGCGTGGCTCCCAGCTCCACCATCATTTCCCGGGCTTCTCCTGTGAGCTCGAAGCTCTGTGCGTGTGTGTGTATGCGTCCATCCATCTGTCTGCCTGTGTCCCTCCTTCTCTGAACAGTCTCCTGCCAGGAACCTGGCACTCTGGAGCACACTGTAGAGGCTGTTACTCTCTGGTTATTGTTCAGTTTCTCCCTGTACCTTTCAGAGGAGCAGGCCTCCACTGAAGCCTGGGCAAAGTGGCCAGGTGCAGGCACAGGTGGTTCGGGGGGTAAAGTCAAGCATACACAGTAGTAGTAGGGACTTTGCCTTGCTCTGGAGACTGAGGCAGTTCTGAAGAAGGGCACTGTTCTGAACCTCAGTGTCTGATTGTATATGCAGTTAGAAGCATCCATGAAAGTGTGGAAGGAAAGTTTCATGCTAGTTAAAAAAAAAAAAAAAAAAAAAAACCACATTGACGAACTACTGGCTTAAAATGTTGAGAAGCCGTTCTGGGGCAATAGTGAGAGTAGTAAAGCAGCCTCATGCAGGGTGAGTCTTGGAGATAACTTCTGCTCAGAACCATGGGCAATAAACCTAATCCTCAAACTGTCAAGTCCTGGTGACCTTCAGTGTGTTGGCCCTGGTGTCTTTAGTGGAGGGTTGCTGCCCACTGCTGATAGAAGGCAGAAGCAGGGACCTTGTCTACTTCTTTCCTTGTCTTCCTCATTTCCTAGACACTTCCTGTGTCCACTGAGGGGTGGTCTGTGCCTGGGGAATTCCCCAGGAGCCACAGCCTGGTGTTAATTGTGCCAGGTCACTGAGGAGGCTGGCACTGTGTGAAGTTGCCAGGCAGATGTGGTGGCCTGGGGGCAGGGAAGGGCTCTGCACAGGGTGACTTTAGTTCTTCAGCATTTGTCACATGCATCTGTGGTCCAGACATTGTGTAGTGGATGCTCCACATCCTCATGAGCAAAGGTCAGGGGAAGGTGAGAGCAGTGCATGCCATGTCTGTCCATCCTCATGGTCTCTGTTGAGAGGCTCCTCCAGCTTGGCCCTGCACCTGGGGCTTCTGCCTGTCTCCTGTTGCTGTCTGAAGTTTCAGGTGGAGAAGAGGCAACAGTGAGCCTCTGTCTGCCTCCCTCCCGTGTGTGTGTGTGTGTGTGTGTGTGTGTGTGTGTGTGTGTCTCCGCATGTCTGCCCACCCCACCCCTACTGGTCTTCAGATCGAGGCTGCTCTCAAGGAGGCAGTAGGCTGAATGGGTGGATATGTTTGGGCAGAGGGCATGTGGGGCTGGCCTGTCTGAAGTGGAGTGCTACAGTCATCTCCCTAGGGCACTAGCCAGGAAAATATGTGACATATCACTGCTCCGTTGCAGTCTGCCAGCTTCTGGTATTAGTAATAACATGTTACTGGGTGTTGTTGAACCTCTGTGTAGGGGCTGGGATCTCGTCAAATTGGTCACCTCTCCCTAGTGGCCCACCCTAACCTTCAGTGGTCCCCAGTCACCGTTACTGATGTATGTTCAGCATGGCTGCCTAGGTTTTGAAGCTGGTGCCTTCACCCCGCCTGTAAACTCCACAGACACAGCCAGGTCTCTTTCCCCTGAGCCTTAGAGCAGGGGCGGCAGCAGTTCCCATATTTGCCCTGAGGGCTTATGGGCTGCCTGGTTTATAGGCCTACTCCTGCAGCAGCTCCCTCAGAAAGTTGTGAAATGGCCTCTGCCCACAGCCAGCAGTGGAACCTGATGCTTCTTGGACCATGCTCAGTGCTTCACTACACTGGCAGCCTTCCCGGCTTCCTGATGAGGCCTTGGCTACTCTGATCTGGAGAACCCTGCCCAGGCTTACCTGCCCACAAGCCATGCAGGCCCTTCCCCCTGCAGTGGGCATGCCCCAGCTTACTCGCATCCCTCAAGTGGCTACTTCCTGTTTCTCCCTCAAGTCTTGCCCTTTTCCCTGTAGTGTAAAGGCATTATATTCTTTTCTCTTTATAGTTCTTACACAGTTTGTAATGATACTGTAGCTAGTGTGGAAAAACCAAAAACTTTAAAGGAGTAGAATTGTCCCTGGGGAAAACGCCAGTTCTGCGGAGGGCCTGGAGAAGTTGTCTGAGCTGAAATGACCCCGGGGATGTGCTCAGGGACATGTCTAGGGATGTGCCTGTGGAGGGCTGCGCACCAGAACGTGGCCCCACCTTTACCCACCCTCACCCAGGCACTTCCTGTTGGAAGAACTCAGAATTGTATGTTACTGTATAATGTATAAACATGTTTGGTTAGTTTTGTTTGTTTGAATTTTTATGAGTTTATATCTGCATAACTAGTGAATATATTCCTCCTGGGTGACTGGCAAACATACATACTTCATCCAGATATTTTTTACTTCCCTGTTTCTGTTTCTCCTCCCTCCCATCTTCCCCTCTCCTGGGTCCCCTTCCATCTCCACACATATATCTCCAAATTAAGACACAACTTTTACAAAATCATTCTTCTGGTAATCAGTTAAGCTCACCCCGTCCTAATGCTGCCCTGTGACCCAGAGCTCTGGGGAAAAGGTGGACTTGGGGAGCTGGGGGAGAGCACTTCACCTCCCATCTCCAAGGGTAGGTGGCAGGGGTGCACGGGGTAGTGAGTATGAGCATGTGTGAGGGGGCCACCTGCCCAGGTGCTGTGTCCAGTGCCCCTTGGCCTGGCCTCACCCACAGCAAGACATGGCCTCACTGCCACGGAGACAGGGTAGTTCCAATGACCTTACGAGGGTCAGTAGAGTGTGGGTTTTGTCCAGCACTCAACTGTGCCAGACACAGTGCTTCAAATACTGAGCTGCTGGTAGGAGGAGAGAAACAAGGAGATATGATGGGGGGCAGACCAGCCAAATGAGGGTGCCTGAATCCCACATACAAAGGCTTCTGGGGATGGTGGGGCAAGATGACAATACAGAGATGGCAGTCACAGTGAAGGCTAGGGGCTGTCCTGATCCAGATTGAGGTGCCTGAGCTGTCACCTTCTGGAGAACCCAGTGCTCCAGGGGGCAGGGACTACAGTCCTTTGGGACCTTGCAACTCCTTGAGGCCACTGAACACATCCGCCCCTGCTAGGAATACCTTGAGCTGTGGTAGTGGCCAGCAGCTAATTGAGGGGTGGCTCTGCAGGCCCATGAGCCACTTACGCAGGCCTGTGCTGCCGTTAGCTGCTACCCCAGGTAGTCTCTTCGGCCATCCCTGAAAGCAGACCTGGTCCAGGGGCACAGGGTCTGGAGGCAGGGCGGGGGCTCTCTAGTGTGGCCGTGGCTATGGTGGCTGCCCCCATGGCATTGTCAGAGCCAGTAGTATTGCATCTGTGTGCCTCAATCAGTGACCTGTGCTCAAGGAGCTTGTATAATTTCTGTCCTGCTCGTTTGCCTGGCAGGCAGACACATATTGCTGTGTGCCTTGAACATTTTACAGTTCTTGCTGCTCTAAGGTGTGAATGAGACATGACAGAACCTGTCTAGGGATGTTCTACCTATTGCCGACAGAACTGCATGGGCTCAAGGCCGGGATTTGCTCTTTGCTTCTAAATCCTGGGGGGCCAGACAGGTATTATATGGCTCACACTTAAGCAGGGTGTGTTTCTTCATAGGGAAAAGAAAATCTCGAAAAGAGTCATTTTCATGCTATAGAGGTGAGGAGAGTGAGTTGGAGGTGTGGTGGCCTCCAGTGGGGACAGCCTATTCCTTCTGTTGTCATGGCCCACATGGCCTCATTTGTATTCCCACCTCCTATTTTATTGGGTCTGCATAACAAGCATGTGAATCTGTGACCCAGTTCTTAAATGATTAAACTCTACTCAGTGGAGTGCTTGGTGGTGTAGTTGGTGGTGTGGTTGCCGAGCACATTTGAGGACTTTGGGGTCAAAATCCAGTGCTTTGTCTGTACCCCAGAAGTGTCTCAGCAGAATATTCTTGCAATAAAGATGTTTTGATTACATTTGGAAAGTTAAACTTTGAAAAGAGATTACAGTAAGAAATGATCCTTTAGAATGGAACTCCCAGACACTCTGCTGTTGCTGGTGGTCTGGGACCTTTCCTTTGTTACACCTGTAGTTTCTGGGACTATGAAGTGATACCATCTCTTCTCAGAAATGTGTAATTTATTAAAAACAAAATTTTTGCAAGATTCCAGCTGTAGCACAGAGCCCTGCTTAGGAAGGCAAGTCCTGAGCAAGTCCTTTCAGCTCCGCTATTGCGTATTGGGTCTGGCATGCTGTGTTGTTCACCAAACTTCATTGTGCTGGGGATATATTGCTAGTCATGTAATTCCCACTCCTTCTAAAAGCCACAAAAAAAAAAAAAAAAAAGAATTGAGTATTCGTGTTACTTGCTAAAATGCCAATGGGCTCATTCATAATAGAAATCCTTCACTCTTCAGGCAGTAGTGGTTGGTACTGTATATTCTCTACTATGAATCCTGCATTGTGCCTGGTTGGGCCTTTAATGGTCAGCATAATTAATTGCCTTTGTGGATGTCAGTTCTTGGCACAGCTCTGCAGCGAGAGTCAACATGTATTTATCAGCACAGCTACAGAATGGCATCTCCTTTCATTGTCCCTTGGTTTTGAAGTTGAGTACAATTGGGTGTTTATTTATAGAAAGAAGGCTCTCATAAGAGAGGCTTCTTTGGGACAGAGTAACTTCTGTCTGAGCAGAGTGTGCTAAAGTGTCACCTCAGATGCTGGTCCCTGTGCTGGACACCAGGCGAATTTACTTTCTGTTGGTGTTGGGGATGCATAGGTCTCTGTCAGCTGGCTCCAGGACAGTGCCTGGTAGCAACCTCCTGAGCAGGAAGCACAAGTAGAAGGCAATCTGGTGAGCAGCATTTCTAATATGGGTGACCAAGATGTCCTGTCCTGTGACCTGGAACCTGGCATCACTTCGTGGGCGTGTTCTGCATACAGCACGGTGGACTTTGGACTAGGTAGATCATCTGGAATTTCGTGAACCCTCCCTCAGGGCCAGAGACTGTTCTCTGGCTGGAGGCAGAAGAGGAAGGGAGAGGGATCACAGCACAAGCAATCCATGGTGGGGAACCTCTTGCTGTGCTCACAGCCAGCATGCACGTGGGGCCTCTGTCCAGAGGCTGCGGGGATTGTGCTGTGGCACCCTCCTGAGTGTGGTGGTGTGCTGTACTCAGCACCCCGGGAGAGGGCGGTCCTGAGCAGGGGAGCCATGGTCTGTGGCTACACAGTGCCTGACTCCTGGTCCCTGGAACTTGTGCCAGGGTTGGTATCTGTAGTTCTAAGTCACTAAATCTGTGTGAGTGGTGACTCAGCCACAAAAATCTTAGGCAGGTGGCAGATGCTACCTATACAGAGGGGACCCCACCTCTCCTGCAGCTCCCTGTGGACCCTGCTATCACCTGCTGCTGCTGCTGCTGTGATGCTTTGTGTTTTCCTTGTAGAATGACTGAACACTGGCCTGGCTTGCTGTGACCATGATCCATGGTAAGACAAAGTTTTTGTTGAAACCTCGCTTGCTCAGCTGACAGATCCAGCTCCCTCTGAAGACTTCATTCTTGTATCACATATACTCTGGCTGCCCCTGTTTTATTGGCTTCTATTTTGTTTTTTAAAATGTAGGTTATAGCTCATGAGTCCAGTTGCCCGACCTGCTATCTTAGAGCTGGATTGTCATTGCAGTTGTTGGTACTTCCACAAATTTTTGGTTTTGTTTTTGTTTTCCCCCGTACTAGAGAGTGAACCCAGGGCTTTCACATGGAGCTACACTCCCAGCTTATTTTAAATATTTTTATTTTTGAGGATGTCTTCGGCTCAGATAGAGTTCAAACCTGTGATCCTTCTGTCTCAACCTCCCAAAGTGCTAGGATTATAAGCTTGCCCCATGCTTTACTTTTTAAATTACCAATCATCTGCTGCTCTTTAGCTTCTGTGTAGGAAGTACTGCTTGGCTCAGTCAGTGGCATGGCACTTCCTGGGGTCTCTGTGGAGAGTCAGCATCACCCAGCCGGGTTCCCGGTCTCTTGTGATTGTGTCTGAATATGCTGGCCAGATGGTTTGCCCTGTGTCCCTCTCTGGGAGCAGTGAGAGTCCCCTCCTCTCTGTTGACATCCTGTAGATGTAGCCTCTTGCCTCACCAGCTGCAGGGGTGGCCTCAGCTTGGGCTCTGCAAACCCCTTAGTACTACATAAGGAGGAATTCCTAAAAAAGTGAACATGCCTTTGATTCGAAGGTGCGTGCTGGTTTGTGGAGGTCTTGCAGAGTGTAAGCCTGCCTGTTGGCCCACACTGCTGCCAGTGTCAGTGTTACTTCACTGTCTCTTGCTAATGATGATATCTCATTGTGGTTGCTTTGCTTTTCTCACTATGGGAGAAGTTAGACATCTGTTCATGTTGTAAAGATCCTTTGTACATCCTTCCTGTTTCCTCACTTAGGTCGTCAGCTTGACATTCAGGCCTGTGGTCCCACTGGCCCACTCCTGACCTGCTGGTGGGACTCACATGAGCACCGTGGCTGCAGAGCCTGAGACTCACTGTTGATACCCAGCGCTGCTGGTGCGGGGAAGGGAGGATACTGGGTTTGCTGCAGTGGTGGCGGGGGAAGCTGTGAAGGGATGAGTTTCCTGCCACCCACCAGGAACTACTGCTCAAGGCTGATGACTGTTGAGTGAGGGAAGTCATTGCCCAAGGAGTTTCACCCTGGTCACTCTCAGGGCTGTGGACTCTGCCCCCGAGGGAAGGGTTATAGGATCCTCAAGGGTGGTTTCTTCCCCACATCATTTTTTAAAAAGATTGATTGATTGATTGATTTGGTACAGGATCTTGCTACACAGCTCAGACTCCTAGTAATTCTCCTGTCTCAGCCTCCCCAGCACTGGAATTACCTGCATGTACCACCATGCCATTTTGGGGGCTGGCACAGCATGTGGCACTAGGCATTGAACCTTGTACTTGTCAGGCAGGTGCTTAGATCACCGAGCTATCTCCCCAGCCTCTTCACATATTGAATGGTGAACAGTGGGAAAACCCTAGGATCCTCTCGTGTATCTGTTGTTGGTACTGTCATTCCTGAAAACTCCAGGAATGTGACTGGGGCTTAGACAGTACCTGGAGGCTTGTTGTGGCAGAATTGATTACATTGTTTAAAAAATGTATTTGGTACAGGGTCTCACTATGCAGCTCGGACTCATAGTGATCCTCCTGTTTTCAGCCTCCCTGTGCTGAGATTGCAGGTGTGCAATGGTCTTGGTGGCCAACTCAGTGTGCCCAGGGGCAGGACAGGCACAGTATTTGCCAGTACAACATTTTAGGAAGATGAAATTTTCACGTATTTTTGACCAAGAGATTGCTTTCTAACACTCCCCTCCCCCATGTGATGGGAAGATCTCCTTCTGGGAGCCTGTAGGAGGTTCTTAGAATAGGGCTTTGTTTTCTAGGCACACTCAGGTTTTCCCACCAGGAACCACCTCACCTTCCTCCTGTGACTGTCAGGTCCTGTGTGATCTGACCCTGTGAGGGACCAAGTGCTCAACATCAGCTGTGGTGGCACTCACTGGCTGACCATGTAGGATGAGAGCTGTGCCATGGAGATTTTGCGTGAGGCTCTGGTGGGGGCACACACACAGACCAGAAAGGAGCAGGCAAGTGCCAGCAGGTGTGGGCCATGCAGCTTAGGCACATACAGAACACAAGTGTGCCTGCTCTTGAGGCTTCATAGAGACTAATTAACCACAGGTGCTTAGGAATTAGCCCTGCAGCTGCAGGAACCTAGAGTAATTCTCATGATCCCAGGTGTCACCAGATAAGGAGCAAATGTGAGACACGAAGGAACCTAATGTACACTTCTCCACGTGAGGCAGGGGCATACAGGTGTTGGGCAACTGCTCACCCACTGCTGCCCTGAAAAATGAGGTTTCTGCTTCTCCTTGAACACTGACCAGCTGTGTCATTGCAGGCTGGGAGTCCTCCGTCCTCATCAGCTCCAGTGTCAGCCTTCTCTCACACTTCTATCACGCCATCCAATCAGGACATCTGCAGGTAATGGTTAGCTTCACATGCACCATGGTCCATGCAGTCCCAAATCAGCACTGTGTCTGTAGGCTCTTGGTATCCCATGTGCTGGGCGGTTCTGCCTGTGATCTTACAGTCAGTCCATTTTGTGTGCTGTTTGCTCAGTGCCCCATGCAGGCCTCACACCATCACTGTGGTGTCTGCTCTCTGAAATGGTCTCACTCTCTGCTTTATCCCACTGTTCTGCATGCAGTTCCAGCGCAGTGTTCTCTGAGTTTTGTCACAACAGTCCTGTGCAGTCTGCTGTTATCTTGAAAGCTCCTCCCTGCCAGAGTTCTCTGACACCAGGGCTCACTGTGACAGTTGTCTGTAAAGACACACTGCAGGCGACCAAGAGCAACTCCTCAGGGCCAGAATGGGTTGAGGCCTCGAAGCCTATCAAGAGCACCAAGGCTAGAAGAGCCCTGAAGTTCTCCAAGTCCTTAAGCGATGTGGGGGTGAAGGCCCAGGACAGCCTAGAGAGCGCATGCTTTGTGGAGAGAACCTGCTCCGAAGGGAAGCTGGCTCTGCCCCCGGCCCCCAGTCTCAGGACCAGCAAGTTCCTTCTTAAGGAGCGGAGAGCGCTGAGCCGCACTCCTCTTGTCCACTCCAAATGCGCATGTATCCCATCCCTTGCTGCATCCCGGCCAGCTGCCTCGGAGGTGAGCACCAGCAGGAGGGGTGACCACGGCCCCCTCTGGGAGGAGAAGGTGGATGGAGAGTCCACATCCGGGAGCCGGCGCCTGTTGCGCTACCTTCTTTCACTGTCCCGCGGCTCAAGCACCAGCATCCTGCACCGATTCCACGAGCTTGAAGTCCATGCTGCCCACCTGCATGCTACCCCCTCTTCCAGTGGGCTGGCGGGGAGCACGGGCTTCTGCTCAGATGAGATGGGTGATGATGATGTCTTCGAGGACAGTGAATCTGCCAGGCTGAAGAGCATAGTCCTGCGGGCACCCCTCTGCTCCATGGAGAAGGACAGTGACCTGGATTGCCCCTCTCCCCTGTCTGAGAAGCGTCCCCCAGCATCCCCTGTGTCCACCTCTGGGGATGCCTGCAGGTTGGTGAGCAGGGACCATGTCTGGCCGGCCCTGCTCGCATCGCTGCTTCCCTGGCTTTAATATGTGAAGTTTCTGGAAAACAACAAGAGACGGCCTAGCTGATGTGGGCTCATTGTCTTCTCCAGGAGGTGGAGTGCTGATGCCATTTAGCAAAACAGTTTTAGACAAGGAAGAAGCTACACATATTAAAGGCCAAGACAACTCATTTCATCTAAAAATATGTAGATTTTGTATAAAGATATTGGAAGAAAAAAATAGATTCTCTAGCCTTCCAGCCTGGTCCAGGTCAAGCATGTACTGGTCCCCAGCTGTTTGTGTTTCCTTCCCCCATCCGTGGGGGAGGGGCTTCTTTCCAGTAGCCCCCTGCTCCCCCTCCCCATGCACTGCTTCTGGCCCTCACAGCACCTACCCTGTCCTCCCACTCAGTGCCTCATGTGGCCCCAGACCTGCTAGTTCTCATGTTCCCTCCTTGGTGGCAACTGTGACACTTCTCACAGATCTGGCCAGGCTGGCCTTGGCTGCTCCAACACAGGTGTTTCTGTTTCTACCTGTCCCTGGTACTGGAAGAAAGCCCTGTTCTCAGAAGCCTGACTAAATTCCATGGGTCTGCAGGGACATCCTGTTGCACTTTAAAGCTAATGCCCATGTGGTGCCACTGCAGGACCTATGGTGGTGGTTTTGGGTGGAGAGGTACTGTGACCTCAGCCACCCTGAGATGGAGCAAGAAGGTCTGGTGTGCTGTGGGGATGTGGGCAGGCTGCATGGGAAGCATGTTGTCCCGTAGTTGCCATGGGTTTGGCTACGATGCCTGTGTCCTGGATGATGATGTCTGTTGCCTGAACTCATCTTGGGGAGGCTCAGTGGTAGTGTTTTTTCATTTGTCCTGTCACTTTCCGCATTGTTGCTACTACCCTGCTGACATTCCGTATCAGTGCAGTGAGTGAGCTAGAAGCTTTAGTTTCTAGTTGCTATTTTCATTCATGTTTGTGTTTCTGTGCCCATGGTCACTTCTGTGCTGTTTCTTAGTTTTCTTAGGGGACGTGTCTCTGAGCATGTTCCCTCCTGGCATGGCCTTCCTGCAAATGAGTTTTCCATCCCCGCAGGATCTGCCACTGTGAGGGTGACGACGAGAGCCCGCTGATCACACCGTGCCACTGCACAGGCAGCCTACACTTTGTGCACCAGGCCTGCCTGCAGCAGTGGATCAAGAGCTCCGATGCACGCTGTTGTGAGCTATGCAAATACGAGTTCGTTATGGAGACCCGACTGAAGCCACTTCGGAAGGTATCAAGGACCTGGCCCATCCCTGGTCCTTTCTGATGCAATAACGGTGCATGTCCTGTTGTCCTTGCCAGGACTGCTTCTTAGAACCCAGTATCTTCCTCCAGCATTGGGCCTGGCATAGTACTTAGGTTGTCCATCTACACTAGGACAAAAATTTGTTGGGGACATGGGGCCACAGTTGTGCCCAGGTCTCAGACCCTACTCCCCTCCGGGACAAGCTATGCACTGCTGGCTGTTTGTCTACACTCAGATACTATATCTCCTGTATGTCCAGTGTGGTCACATTAGAAAAAAATGAAAGACTGTCCTATCTCTGAGCATTAGTAACCACTTGCTGGGACTCCTAGGATGGTGTAGCAGCTCACAGGAAGGCCAGTGTGCTGCTGGTTGAGAGGAGACTGGGGCCTGGGGAACAGGTCCATCATGTTATCCCTTGGTTATTGTGTGTGGGCTGATAGGGCCCACACTCTCCCAAATGAGTGGACAGCAAAGATACTTAAAGAAATGAAGCAAATCGTAGTGCTTTCAGGGCCCAGGAGTATCCTAACCCTCTCACAGAGATCTTCTGGGGTTTAGATCAAAGACCTAGGCAGCACATGTGTATTATGTTATCAAACAAAGGAGAGGGAGTACTGAAGAAACTCAGGAATCTGGGCAAGACTTGGGAATCCCTTCAAGGACTTCTCCAAGTAATACCTATGTTAATTTAGTAGAACTGTGTTAAGTAGGCTCTCATGCTCACATGTCCTCTTTCCAGTGGGAGAAGCTGCAGATGTCAACCAGTGAGCGCAGGAAGATCATGTGTTCTGTGACCTTCCACATCATCGCCATCACCTGTGTGGTCTGGTCCCTGTACGTACTCATCGATCGTACTGCTGAGGAGATCAAGCAAGGACAGGCAACAGGTAGGTACTCAGAGAGTGGCATGGAGACTTGGAGGGGCTTCTCTTCAGTTTAGGAAGTAAAGGGCTAAGGAAGTCCTTGAGGGAACTGGGATCCCTGGACTCATGGTGGGAGGGCCTGCAGTCTTTAGAGAGCCCGGTTGGATTGTGTTCCCTTCAGTCTCCTGGCAGCTGATAAAGACTATTCCTTCCAGGTATCCTGGAGTGGCCCTTTTGGACTAAGTTGGTTGTTGTGGCCATTGGCTTCACTGGAGGACTTCTTTTTATGTACGTTCAGTGCAAAGTCTACCTGCAATTGTGGAAGAGACTCAAGGCTTACAATAGAGTGATCTATGTTCAAAACTGTCCAGAAACAAGCAAAAAGAATATTTTTGAAAAATCTGCACTAACAGAGCCCAACTTTGGAAATAAAGATGGACGCGGACTCTGTCATTCTGACACAAACTCCTCTTGCACAGACCATGAGGATGTTGGGGTGGAGATCAACCACGTCTGACATGTTCCTGGATGTTCATGCGATGCTGATGGATGTTGTTTACTACCAACTGTGTACCTTTCTCCCACTCTGTAATAGCAGAGTTGGGCAGGTGATGAGTTGTGCTGGCCTATTTGTGAACTGTCCTTGATGATCAGAAGCCATCCTGTGACCAGTGTCAGGGTCCCTCTACTAGGCTGCTCTTGGGGAGGGAAGTTGGGAGGCCCTGGTGGCTACCACAGGAGGCTGATGAGCTGTGCTCCTGGTCTCCACAGAGTGAAGAATGAAATGCCAAACCTAAAGGTCAAGCTGGAGCAGGGCACAGGAGGAGACAGCCTCGCCCTGCCCTGGCCACCCCAAGCCTGCAGCACCTGATTCCCTAAACAAGCAGCACTTTACAGAAGAGTTATTTTTTAATGTGTCTGGTGAGATGGACACCTACAAATCATCACATTTAGAAACTTCCCTCACCACTCTAGTTGTTTCTCTCACATGGAAGTAAATCTGAAACCCTCTTTGCCTTATTTATTGTAGGAATTGGAACCTTCTCCCTGTGGGATGTGACAGTGGGACAGCACTGGTGGGAATGGTGGTACCCAGTGGTGGAGACCTTCAGCCTGGAATCTCTGTCTCCAGGACCACCTATTTGTAGGTCAGCACTAAAACCAGGAGGCTTTGGACATCAGAATGGGAGAAGTGAGTACTTAGTATAGCTGAGTGTTTAAAAGATCACATCTTTACAGAGTCAGAGGTCTCTGGTTGCTGCTGACTTTATGGGGAAAGGACAGGAATTTGCACCTCAGTGCTCCTGGTACATGCCCTGTGGCACTGTGGAGTTGCTGTGGGGCCCAGAGAGGACAACAGACTGTGAGGACCACTGTGTTACCACCTCTGTGTACCTGGCATGGCCTTCAGGGACTGGACAGACAGGGCCTCCAGGACCTGAGCCTACTCAGCCCACCTGTCATCAGGACCCCTCTGGCACTGTTCAAGGTATAAAACCAAAACCACTCCCAGGGACAGATGGCCCTGTCCCTTTAAAAAAATTGCCTGAAATTCTCTTTACGAAGGCCATTGTCATAGTCCCAGGTAGACAGTGAACCTGGGAGGCAGCCAGGAGCCTGCAGCACAAGTGGGAGGACAGGGTGTGCTGTGTATGCCACTGCCACTGCCAGTGCTGCATCTGTACAGCCTCCACCAGGGCCCTCACAAACAGGATGGCTCACGACCCCAGGAGGGACCTTGTGGGTTGAGCTGCTGCTCTGCCCTGCAGGTACCAGCCACAGCTGTCTGAGGTCATGTGCCCTCTGCTCCCTAGCCACATTCAGCGTGTGCCTGTGCCCACTGTGCCCAAAGTGCAATTACCATGTCCCTGTTCAGCACAGGGACACCTGGCAGCTACAGGCTGTCCACTCAGGGGAGTGAGCCCACCAGCCCTGCCTAGATCCCCACAAGACCCAAGGAACTGCCCACAAGACCCAAGTTCCATGTACTTGCCCTGCCAACCTCTAGTGGGGGACTTTGTGAGCCCCTCCTCTTGGAGCCCTGTCCCCTGAGCCTGGAAAGCCTTGAGACTCAGGTAGACAGGAGCATGTGCAGGGGGTGCTCTGGCACCCCAACAGCAAAGGTGCACTGACCTTGCCCACACCCAGCAGGAAGCCTCCACCCATGTTAGGAAGGCTGGCACCATTTCTCTTGCAACTCTGCAGATGGGTCCCACATCTTTCTCTCCCTCAGGGCATCAGGTACCACTTGCCTTTCCCTTCCTGCAGGACATGACCGCAGAGCCCTCAGCTCTGCCCATGCCCTGTAGCTGCTGGGAGCAAGGGGCTTATCCCTGTTCTCACCTCATTTCTACCTAGCTTCAGTGGAGGTTGGCATTTGGTGAGTCACACGAAATCCTGGGCTCAAGGTCTCTGGGCCAGGAGGACAGAGGCCACAGTCTCAGGGTGTCACTGTTGGTCATCTTTGGCTTAGCACTGCAGCCCAATACCACTGGCAGTCTTCTGATTTTGGCTCTAGGTCCAAGCCTCTGAGGTGCCCTGCCTGGTGTGGAAACTGCTAGGCACGGACACAGGAACTGCTGCCCCTCCCTTTAGATCTGATTTCCAATATGCAACTTCCCTCTCTATCCCAAGGAAGGGCCCAAACACAGGGAGGTAGAAGCATTTTTCTCTATTTTGGAAATAATTATTCAAGGTGCAGAGCTGATCTGTGCGTATTTAGATGCAATGTTTATAAAAAGTTGATTGTTAATAAAAACCAAATTTACACTGGCATGTGGTGTATTTTCTAAACAACACTTCACATTTGGAATTTTTCTTACGGAATTTCTAGCAAGCTAAATGTTTAGTTTTGTATCCTTTGTGTCCTTTCACTTCAGTATTACCAATTGAGCCCTCTGCGTAGGAAGGCCCTGGATCTAACCACAGCAGTAAACCTTTCTTCAGAAAGGAGTTTGCTGTGGGTGTTTCCCTTTGCCAGGTTCCACCTGCTCAGACATCAGGAAGGAATGTCATGTGTCCATGGCCTATTTCCTCAACCTGTGTCTCCAACTCAGTTTGTGGGGTCCAGGAGGATGCAGTGGGGTGAAAGGCATTTCATGTAAGCATGTTTGTCCTGTGACCCCAGGCTCAGGTATCTATACCATGTCCACCATCCATGCCCAGTAGAGAGGACAGGTGACCAGCCCTGTTTGAACAGCAGCTGTGTCTGCCAGGCGGTGAATCCTGGCATGTGTGGGCTTCCCTGGGGCATGGCAGTGCATGGCAGTGCCTTGGTCCTTGGGCTTGTGTGCTGAGGACTTGTCTCACAACAGTGCTGCTCTTGGGCTGGTTGTATGGGGCCAGAAGGAGACTGGGAGGTTGCTCTGTGGAGCTGTGGCCACAGCCCAGTGCCCTGGGGAAGGCTACTCCAAAGCTCCTGAGTCTGTTCAGTGGATATCCAGGCTCAGGGCAGCCCAGTCCTATGAGGGTATGGCAGTGCTTTGGGAATCTATGAAAGGACAGGTGAAGAGGCCCAGGGTGGTCTTCTGCCCTAAAATCGGTTGGGTGATTTGGGGCTACAAGGGGCCCAGTGCTGGCTCTTTTGTCATGAGCTGTCTGGTGAGGGAGCACGTATGGGCACCCATGGTCTCTGGATTCCTTCCACCTGGAAAAGGTGGGGAAGGATTTGAGGCCATTATGTGGGCTGCAGAGCCTACAACATTTTCTGTGTGGTGTTTTCTAGGAGTCATTTGCCTGTTGCTATAGTTTGGTGTGGGTCAGGCCCCCTGAAGGCCATGTGTCTGACCTGGTTCCCAGGGGCCACTGTTGGGAGGGGCTGCACATCTCAGGGTGGAGCCAAAGGGAAGCCATTGGGGAGTTGTGCTGGATCTTGGAATCTGATCTTTTCCTCTTGTCCTAGATTTTCTTTGTTACCATCTCAGAAATCTGAGTTTTGTGTTATACATTTAGGTCTATGATTAGTGTTCGATTAGTGTGTAGAGGGTGTAGAGAATTTGCATACATTTATGTCTTCATTGCTTGAGTATAGAAACGTGATTGAATTTGCATATTAACTTTATATCCTGCAACCTTACTGCTATAATTACTTACTGGTTTTAGCAGGTTTTAGTGTATGTGCTGCCAAAGTGAGTACAATTTCAACAGGTTTTTGTTTTGACATTGTATTCCTTATGTATTTTTTTCATTTCCTTTCCTTGTCACATTGACAGATAGGACTTGGTAAGTTTTTTCAGCGTCTTACCAGGAAGATTCTTAAACATAAAACATTTAATAATGTAATGAGGATACACATACTCTGTGCTCTCTCACATTTTCCTCCATGGTTTTCTACACAGCTCTGTGTTTCTCATTGGCTTGCATTTTGCATTTCAGAGTGAAGTGCAGCTGTAGTGTACTCTAGCCACCTTAGTCTGTCCTTAGCAACTAGAATTTCATATTTGCTAATTGTGCTTTTTTTCTTAGGTTATTGTAAAGTGAAATGCATAAATCATTAGTGTTCCATCTGCTTGGGTTGGACAAATGTATCCACTTATGTAGCCCAAACCACTATCAAAATATAGTATATTATCTCAGGCCTGGAAATTCCTTGGCATCTCCTCTTCAGTTCCACTTCCCTTTGTCCACCATTCTGAGATAAGGTGTAGCCTGTTCTGGAATTTAATTGTTCCAGAGCCATAAAGTATATGCACCTTTTGAGGAGTTTCTCATGAAAGACACGGTGTCTCTCATGGAAGAATTTTAGCAGTTAACATAATGATCGTGAGATTCATTGGGGCTGTTTGGTGAGAGGGCTTGCACTTTTTCCTGTCTGGTAGTATTCTGCTATAGACTAGACCCCCCCCCTTCACCCACATTCATATTGCTGGAAACTTGAACTATTTCTAGTTTGGTGCTATCACAAATAAAAGTGCTGAGAGTAATCTTGTACTGATGCTTTGGTGATTGTGTTTTCCTTCCACTCAGGTAAATAACTGGGAGTAGTACAATGCTGGTGGTATTGGGAAGACTAGATTTCTAGTTCTCATGTTTTATATATATATTTTTTTAAATTTTTTTTTAATTTTTATTTATTTGAGAGAGAGAGAGAGAGAGAGAGAGAGAGAGAGAGAGAGAGAGAGAGAGTGTGTGTGGTGTGTGTGTGTGGCCAGCTCAGCCCACCAGGGGGCGGGGCTGGCTGGCATGTGGTGCTGGGGGATTGAACCGCGGTCCCTGATGCTTTGCTAAGCTTGTTTTAAGTAGGTGCTTTAGACCACTGAGCCATCTCTCCAGCCCCTCTCATGTTTTATATTGATACACATGTACAATTATGAAATGTAGAAACCCTGTAGCTCAGTAAGGCCACTTGTACCCACTTGTGCTGTCTTCCTAGAAAGTGAATTTATATGCATTGTAGGTGCCACACAACAGTGCTACAGTACTTGGTTTAAAGGGGCAGATGCCACTTCAGTGGTGAAAAGGACCAAAGTCTTCCACATTCACCAAACATTCCCCACGTGGGCTTTCATTCCCTCTAAGGACTGTGTTCCCACTATGAGTCATTTCCCATCTCCCTGAACAATTTCCTTTAGCATTTTTAATACTGTAGATTGGCTGGCAATTGATTCTATTATTTTATGGAAAAAAGTAAAATATTCATAACAAAATAATATAATTAATAGTTAATATGTTGTGTATTGTTATCTTTAGTTCTCAGTGCAAGATATGGGCATAAAAACTTCTATTGGTATTAGCACAAACTACCTTTTCAATGAACTAAGAGACAGTAGTGGTTCACTTTCATTTTTTTTCCTTTTACCTGCCTTTCCCTTTTCTCCTGTCCTAGTTCCTTTTTCCTTTTGAGCAATTTCTTTCCATTTCACAGTATCTATTGTACATTTTCGACCTTATTTGCTCTTAGTTTCTCATACCAGGGAGACAATATGGTGTTTACACATGTGTATCAGGTTTATTTCACTTATGAGTATGGTTTCAAGTTGCATCCATTTACCTATAAAAGTCTCAAGTTTATCCTACTCTCTGGCTGAGTAGTACTCCATTGTGTAAAAAGACCACATATTTTTATCTGTTCTTCGGTTGATAGGCATTTCAGTTATTTTTAAGATTTAGCTGTTACAAATTTTGCTGCTATAAAGGTATATCCACCTATGTCACTGTGATATGTTTTAAGTTCTTCTGGGAAGATACCAGAAAAATATCTGGGTCAAATGGATCCTTTAATCCCAGATTTTTGAAGAATCTCCATACTGATTTCCATAGGGCACCAGTCTATACTCCCACCAACAGTGGAGAAGGGTTCCGTTTTCCCTACAGCCCCTCTGGCATTTTTATTTGTTTTGATTTCTTTATGATAGCCACTCTTATTTTCTTGATGATAGCCATATCTTGAGGATATCCATATCTTGGGCTTGCCGTTGCTGAGATGCAGTCTCAGTGTTTTAATTTGTATTTCTCGCACTACCAATGATATTGAATGTTTTTTCATCTATTTATTTGCCACTCATTTCTTTGTATGTTCTAGATAGAAGTCCTTTAAGGGACAATTTGCTAAAAAATTTTTCTCACCCTTTGTCCTTTCACTCTGCTAGTGATGTCTTTTGATGTGCACCTACTTTTTAATGAGATGGGATCCCCGTTGATTCTCTGAAGTTTTTCCCAGGCAATTTTGGTTTTTTTCATGAACTCTCTGCTTACACCTTTGTTTTCAAGATTTCTCTCTTCCAGTAGATTTAAATGTTTCTGTCTTAATATTTCATGCATTTTGACTTTAGTATTTGTTGATTGTCTTGGTTCTAGTTTTAGTCTTCAGTATGTGGAAAACCAGTTTTTTCAGCACTATCTTTTAAAGAGGCTGTCTTTCTTCCAGTGAACATGCTTGGCCCCTTATCAAAGATATGGAGGCTGAGTGTGTTTGTAGTTGTGTCTGCATCTTCTAATCTGTTCCACTGATCCACAGGTCCTTTTTTTTTTTTTGGTCAGGACCATGCTGATTCTGTCACAGTGGCTTTGTGGCATAATTTCAAATGAGAGATTGTGATGCCTCTTTCCTTCCCTTTGCTGCCCAGGATGGCCTTTGCTATTCTCAGTCTGTTCTGGTTCTAGATGAATTGTTTTCTCTAGATCTTGGAAGTATGTTAATGGTGTTTTGATAGGGGGTTATATTAAGTCTGTGTAACAGTTTTGGGAATGTGGTCATTTTCACACTATTGGTTCTTTTCTATCTATGAACAAGGAATATCTTTCCATTTTCTGATACCTCTTTGATCTCCTTTTTCAGAGTACTGTACTTTTCAGTGCATAGATCTTTTACTTCCTTTGTTGGAGTGATTCTAAGTATTTCAATTTTGGGGTGCTATTATGAAGGCTGTGGTTTCTCTAATTTCTCTTCTAGTGAGTTTGTTGTTTGTATACAGAAATGGTATTGATTTTTGAGTCTTGATTTTGTATCCAGCTATACAACTGAATTTATTAAGTCCATAAGTCTTTTTGGTGGAGTTTTTGGGGTCTTCTGTGTAAAATATCATTATTTTACTTGAAGTTTTGTTTTCATTCTTGAAAGATATATTTGATGATGGCAGAATTCTGTCTCTGTGGGCACACCCCCAAGCCCTGTATACCTTTTTACTTTACAGAAGCTATTCCGTGGTATTTGGGTTGTGATGGTTCTGATGCAAAGTCAGCTGTCACTTGAGTTTCTTTAGCATTTTGTGTCACCGCTTTTAAATTTTATCTTTGATTTGAGCAGGTTGACTCTGGAGTATATAGGCACAGTTTTCTTTCTATTCATTCCACTTGGATTTTACTTAGTTTCTGGCAGCTTTAGATTTATGCATTTCACCAAATTTGAGGATATCCAGGCTGTATTTATTTCCTCTTTTACCCTATTTTTTTTTTTTAAATTTCTCTTCTGGGATTCTGATTACATATCTGATAATTTATCTTACAGATTTCTCAGGCTTTATTCATTAATTCTTCTTCTTTGCACTTTCAATTGGATTATTTATGTGGACTGTCCTCAAGCCAACCCCTCTCTGTGCTGTCTGCTGCTGTTAGAGCCCTTAGCTTGTTTTTCCTCAGGTAGTTCTAGATTTGGAATTTGTATGCACCTTGGCTGCGCCTTCTTAAGCACTTTTATTGCTGACATCCTGTTGTTTCATACGTTGGAGCACAGTTTCTGCAACTCATTGAGCACAAACATAATTTTTTTTTAATGTTTGCAAATAATATCTGGCCGCCTTGGGATTTAGTCTGTTTTAACCATCTTTTCCCCTGAAGAATGAATCTTATTTTCCTGAGTAATTGTGCATTGTCTTGGCTGTTTTAACGCCATTTGGTAGAGATTCTCAATTGTGTTATATTCCTCCAAAGAGTGTTAACTCTTGTCAAGAAGGGCTTTAGCCTAGTTGAACTTAAACTGAAAATGGCTCCAGAGCTCATGTCTCAGTGTGGTTGCACTACAGTTTGTGTATGTGTTCCTCCAAGTCATTACACTGGAACTCACACCCTGAAGGTGCAGTAGGCGGTGAAGTGGGCAGGTGACTGAGCCATGCGGGCTCTGTCTCAGTGAGGGGTTAATGCCTTTACACAGGAAGCTCTGCAGAGTGCCAGCCCTGTGAGGACACAGCATACCAGGCATTCTCTTGAAAGAAGAGACCAGGCCTTACTGCACCTGCCAGAGCTTTTATGACTTCTAGTGTTCAGAACTGTAATAAATAAACTTCTGCTTAGCTTTGAACTCATAGCACTTCTCCTGCCTTAGCCTCCTGAGTGCAGGGGTTACAGGCATGCACCACCATGTCCTGTTTTTTGTAGTAGCAATACAGTAGCAGGACTAAGAGACATTGTTACACCCTAGATGAGGTTGTGTGTTTACTTCATGTGTGCATCATGTCTTAGGGGTTTGGTTGGGGTAGAGTTTGGCACAGAATTTGGACCTTTTCTCCTGAGGTAGCAATGAGCTCTGTGTTTGTGTCTGGTTGACCCTCAAAGCCTCATGCAGTCACTGGGGCCAGGTTTCTAGACTTTGTGACTAATTCCTGGTCCAATGCTGGGATTATGTGTGTGAGTGCTACGTACGCCTTGGGGTAGATAGCCTGAATACAATAAAGAAAGAAGGTTAGGCTTTCTAGCTGCTGTTGCTGCTCCCCTGCCCCCCCTTTTGCACTTTGCTGTTTTCTGCCACCATGAACTGCCGTCCTCTGTCATGTGCTGCTCTGCCTCAGAGCCAGCTGAAACTGGACTGGAATCTCCACTAACTGAGTGCTAAATAAACCTTTTCTGTCTTAATTTTGGGTGTTTGGTTTTGTCCCAGAAACAAGAGAACAGTAACACTCTGGTAGTCAGATATCCAGTGACAGAACAAATGATGGGCAGTCTGAGCAGCACTCCCCAGATACACAGTGGCACTTGTGCCCTCACCTTGTGGTCACCTTCACCAGATGCAAGCCTTCGGTGTGGCAAGGCTTGCCTGAGAGCTCCCATTTGCCAAGAAACCTTGCTCCCCTCTCTTTGACTAGGAGTCCTGTCTGCTCATATCTTCTCCTGCTCCTTCCCTGTCCTTCCTGCCCCTCTTCATGGCTTCCAAAGCTGAGACTAAGTGTCTCTGCCCTGGCCAGATGTTTAGGACATGTGTCTGAATGTCACCCACAGCGTGATGGCAAGTTCTTATGGAGGATGAATGTGGTCAGTATGGCCAGAAGGGGCTCATCTCAAGCTGTCCTGTAGCCACTTCAGAGTCAGGACTATACTAAAGGGCTTGTGCCCCAGGAGTGTGGCTACCTCCCATACCATGTTGGCCTGGTAGGATCCTTTTCTGAACACTGAGCTGCTGGCCCAGATATCAGAGCACCTGCTGGAGTCCTAGAGATTATGGTGCCACCAGCCTGGGGCTGTGGCTGGGTGTGCAGTAAGAGGGGCAGATGGACAGCCATGCCCATGCTTAGGCTAGTCCTGCTTCTTGGGTCTGGGAAAGTCATGCTACAAACCTTGCCTCAGGAGAAGGCTAGCACCCAGCTTCCAAGAGAGGCCTGGGATCCACAGTGGGTGCCCTTCCAGGAGGAGGGGGGGCCTGCATGCTAATGCCAGGCCAGGGCGTAGAGAAAGACAGTGGGATCCCCAACCTTCCAAGGTGTCCTCTTTGAGGGAGATCACCCAGATGGGCAACAGTGAGGCCAGATGAAGCTCTGGGAGGAGAAGCCCTGCTGGAAGGTGAGAGAGGCTTCCCAGGAGGTTGTGGCACTTGGCAGTGCTTTGAAGAAGAGTGGTGTGGACAGAGATGTGGGGATAGTCACCTCGCATCCAGAGGACAGTGGGCAGGCCCTTGCCATGGTGGAGTCTCAATGATCATGGTCTTTGGTGGTGGTGCCCCTAGGCTGTGGGCTGGAACATAGCAGATGAAATGAGAACTGTTTTAAATGAACTTTGTTTCTGTGACAACCAATTCTCAATTCACTCAACAGGAATTTATTTGGGCACCTAACTACAGGTATGAAATTGGATTAACCATTAAGTAGAGCAGGAGGTGCACCCTCATCTCTAGTAAGAAAAGGCCAGTTACCCTGTTAGGCTGTTACCAGCATGTAGGCCGCTTACTGAGCTGGGTGTGGGTCAGAGGCTGCTTAGATGCCTCTGCCTGAGGCCTGCAGGGCTTGTGGACAAAGCAGAAAGAGGCACTGAAGCTTTTCTGTCCCACAACAGCCTGGAGAAGTCTGGAGTGAAAGCGGCGCTGGTGTCCAGCTGGTCTTCCCGGAGGGAGCTCAGATAGCCACACTGTTGGGGATCCGGTCCGGGGACAGGTAGTAATAGGGCAACTTTTTGTTCTTGTTGCGCTCTGCGATCACACTGACGATGGCCTCCAGGTTCTTGCGGAAGCGGACCATGGCCTCCTTCACGGGCTTCTCGGTAAAGTGCTCTTCAGGGTACATGCCTAGGAACAGCTGGGGTCCAGACATGGACAGACAGGTGGGTCAGTCTACTGGGGGACTTTGTAAATGGACAGGCCTCATGCTACCCTGGGAACCTGCTCCCCTCCTACCCTCTGCTACCTGCAAGAGTGACAGCCACAAAAAGGACAATATCCTGTCACTTGAAACAACCTGGATGAACCTGGCCATTATGTTAAGGGAAATAAGCCAGGCACAGAAGGACAAATGTGGCATGGTCTCACTAATACATGGACTCTAAACACCTTAAAGTTGAGTAGAACAGTGTCTGTCATGGGGTGAGAGGTGGGTCAGTGGGTACAGGCTGCAGTCAGGCATGTGGAGGGTCCTGGTGGGCTGTGACTTGGCTGGGGACTACAGCTGACACTATTGTAGAACATGTTTTATAGTAACTGGGAGACCGTGTTCCCACTCACAAGGTAACGTGTGTGAGGCACCAGATCTGCTAAATGGGTGGACTGCTCATCACCCCGTGCATGCATGTGTGCATGTATGTGCATTGAGAGATCACGTAGAACTAGAAGTATGCATGAGCATGAAGTGTCCATCAGAAATAAAGGAAGCAGAAAGCCAGCGTGACGCTCCTTCCAACCTGCTTCCCTGAAGAAGCTCCGGAGCCCAGGCCTGGCAGATGGGTGAATTTAGAAGGGGCCACACCTGCTGCTGAGGCCTCAGGGAACCAGCAGTGGTGCGGCACAGCAGGACTGACCATGGCGTCCTGCGTGATATCCTCCAGGGCTCCAGGCCTGCAGGGCACCAGCCAAGGGCCCTATGGGTCGGAACTGTGGGGCAGCATGTGTGTGGGCCCTGTGCTTATGTGTTTGCACACATAGATGTCTGTGAGACTGGACTGTAAGACTGGACTGATCTCTGAAAGCTCTGCCAGGTTGTAAAACTAGCAGGTCTCAGGTAGGGCAGTGGGATTTGGATGTAGTGTGTGGAGTGAAATCCAGTCCTCATGATTTCCTGCTATGACATTCCTCTGTCAGGAACACATCACATTCCTGAAGTACAGGTGTGCATCACACTGAACCCAGACACAAGGATGACCAGGAAGGACCAGTGCTGGGCTGGTGACTAGCTCCTCCCTCTTGCACACAGGAGCTCCTACCAAGGCCTGTGTCCACCCATAGGGTCCCCATTTGGCGGTGAAGTACACGTGTGCACCTCTGGAAGGAGCCAGGACTCTTCCCCTTCCCTTGGGAGTCAGGGGGACCACGTACAAGAACTTGGTCACTGCTGAAAGTGGGACGGGGACACTTGGCGCCCTCTGATGGCAATGAGTGGGATAGCGCCAAGTCTCTCCTAGCCCCTGCCCCAGCCAGGGACCTGGTGGCACCTGTCCTCTTTTTCCCCTTCAGACTGGCACTCAGGCTCTTGGCTTCCAGAACGGAACGGTGGAGCCTGTCCGCCAGCGCCGCTATCCCGGCCCGTGCCTCACCTCGTTCTCCTGCACCTGGCTCAGTGCCCACACAGCGCCCAGGTGCCAACACGAGCGGCCACGGTCTGGCAGCGTTTCCACGATCTGCTCGATGGTCACCACGCCCTTGGCTGTGGGGGGCGGGGCCCTCATAGTAGGGGGCGCATTGGGGATCCAGGAGCACCAGTCGTACTGGGGACAGCACGGGCATTGGTGGGTCCCTGGAGCCCAGGTGCAGAGCCACCTGCTACCCGTGCAGGTACCTACTGACAGCGGGGATCCTCTCCCTTCCCAACGACCCCGTCCTTCCCAGCGGGGACCCAGCACAGAGCCCTGGTAGGTAGGACAGGGTTAGGATTCAGGTCAGGATCAAACCCACTTACCTGCCCAAAGTTGACAGCTGCGTGCTGCGCGGATGCGGTGAAGATGACCACAGTCAGGTATTTAGTCAACTGTTCGCGGCTCCGAAGCGACTTGGGGAAACCTGGAGAGCGCATGCGGTCAGCTAGGAGTGAGTCCACCCGACCCCCACACGGGCCAACACCCGTGCGACGCCTACCTGAGGCCTTGCAACCCCGCATGCCATACACATAGACGTCCTTGGCAAAGGCCTGCAGCTCTGTGTCCTCTGCCACCACCTGGTCACTCTCATAGTAGATGTCCACGACCTCAGCCACGAAGCTAGGACAGGGTGGCTGATCAACTTACAGAACTGGGAAGCAGCAGGTCCAGTGGGGGGCGCCGTCCAGTCCCAGGCTCCTCCCCAGGGTCTCCCTCCTGGTGGTCCAGTCCCCCTCACAGTCTAGTCCACGGGGCTCCCTAGCCCCACCCTCAGGCCCCACCCAGAGGCTTCCAAGGCTTAGCCCCGCATACCTGTGGATGGCCTCCCACACCCGCAGCCCGTCGTCACGGTAGAAGTAGTAGGGGATGTCCTCGGCGCTGTCCATGCCGCGGGCCCGGATGGCCTCGGGGAAGCACAGGGAGGCGTAGGTCAGGTCCTGCATGGCCCGCTGCACCATCTGCACATGCCCACCGCCGCCTGTGGCGTTGGCCTGCGGGAGGGGGCGCCCCTGAGCCAGCACCCTGGGGACTGGGGGAGCAGGGTGGAGAAGCAGCGCAAACCACATGGCAGGGGGGAGGGGAGGGTTGGCAGGAAGGATGATCAACTCGGGAAGGACAAGACCCCAGCCCACCTCCTAGCAGCACCTGGACTCAGCTGGGTGAAGGCACAGGGTCAGGTCGGGGCGCGCACCTTGTCAAAGAGGCCATACTCGCAGATGAGCTGCTCACGGGCCTTGGTGTTGATGGCGATGGTGAACCGCACGTGGGCCACCAGCAGCTAAAGGACAGGAAACCTCAGAGGAGGCTGCCGCAGCAGCCCAGCCCAGCCTGCGGTGCTGATCTTTCTGCTGAGGAACTGTAGGGTCTGGGGCTGGGCTTCAGTGCTGACCTTGACATCTGCGCTGGACTATTACTGCCTTAAGCCTCTTGAGGACCCCTTCAGGGCTCTCTGAAGGTACCGCCCACCATCCCCTGCTGAACAGTAAGGATCCTACCCTGAACAACTGGCCTACCTTGAAAATGGGGTGCACAGCAGGCAGCTGGCGGTACATGGCAATGCCAAACACCTCCGACACGAGGTGTGTGCGCAGCAGGTGGGTGATGGTCTGGTGGACATGGAAGTCGCTGGAACGCACCCAGATTTTTGCCAAAAGCCAGTCGTACTTTGCATCGGAAGGGAGAAAAATGGGGTTCTCTTCTCCTGGGGTTTGGTTAAGCTGATAGGTTGAAGAGAGAAAAGGTGTTCATGTGTTTTGCCCCAGAGGAGCTATTGGAGAAGCTATCTCCTGGGAAATTCCAGATGCATCTAAGCATCTTCCCCAACAACTTTCAGACCACAGGAAGAGCATAGAGGCCGTGGGGTCCAGGCCTGGTGCTTCCCATCCCAGCTACATCACTGGAAACCCATGTGCCTAGCTGGTCTCAGCTCTTCCTTCCAGGATAGGGATGCTAGTGTTAGCCTGCGTGCTGCCTCAGGAGTGGGATACAGTGGCCATGCCCCCATACCACTCCACAATTCTCCCTCTCCCCTGCCCTTGAGTGCTGCTCCTAGTGGGGTGGCAGTTAAGGTGAACTGGAGAGTGGTGTATCACCACATCTGCTGAGCCAAGAGTGAGAAAACGGTTTCGAGGAGCTCTGGAGCCTGGAGACAGGGAGGCTCAGGAATCTGTCAGATGACTTCTCTGTCTCGCAATCCAAAACAGTGCTGAGAGAGAGGTAATGCCAAGCCTGCATGAAATGTCAAATTTTGAAGGAGCCACATTTTAAAATGTAGACCGAAACAGGTGATATATAGGTTAATAATGTAATTTATTTTTACCCAATATATCATCTAAAAATCATCTTATATGAAGCCACATTTAAAAATATTCAATAATATACTCTACATATTTCCCCTCCCTATTTGAAATCTGGGATATTAATATATGTAGTGAATGTTTCAGTGTAAGATTGTATTACAGTAAAGATGTGTTACCATTAATCCCCTCAAAAATGTTTCCTTTCGCTTTGAGCACATTTGCTCCACTATTCTTGCCACTTTCTGAAGCAGTTCTGGAAGTCCTTTTTCATGAGTGTCTTTATGAGGCATGATCACAAATATGGCAAATGCTGCTGCCAAGAACAGTCCAACAGAAAGGCCAGCTCATGTGAAATCACAGTGCATCCTCATTCATCTTATTCACTGAGATTCCTGGCTCTTCTTCAGTGTAAAAATGATCAAAGAAAGTAAATGAGAGCAACTAGTGCTATGGTTGTGTCTAGTTTTCCCCCAAAGCCCTCATGCAGTCCTTGGGGCAGGCTTCTAGAGTCTGTGATTGATTCATGAACCAATGCTGGGACTATGCATGTGGGTGCTACCCCTGCCCTGGGACTGATAGCCTGAATACAAGGGAGGGAGAAAGGCTTGCTAGCTATTGCAGCTGCTGCTTCTTCCTTTGCTCTTTGTTATTTTTTGCCACGATGAACAGCTTTCCTCTGCCATGTGCCACTGTGCCTTGGAGCCAGCCAGTATGGACTGAAACCTCCACTAACTATGAGCTAAATAAACCTTTCCTTCCTTAATTTTAAGTGTTGGGTATTTTGTCAGCAATGAAAGAAAAGTCACTGGGACAACTAGACACTCAAGAAAGAAGACTCCAGAACTGCTTCAGAAAGGGGCAAGAACAATGGGACAGGAGTATCCAAAGGAAGAGAGTGCTTTGAGAGGAATTCATGGAAATGGTCCTTTACTGTAATGAGTTTTAAAACTTTGAACATTCAAATATCATCATATTTTTAATCACAATTGCATTTTGCAATTACATCTCTTAGTGTGGCCCACGTAAGTCTCAGCTCCAGCACCAGGCAGGTACAGGGCAGCTCTGGAAGTCTCCTAGCTATTCCTGGAGGATTCAGAGGGGAGGAGAGAGGAGTGGCTGCTGCTCTGTATAGTGCTGTTTTCTTGGGCTGGCTCTGCTGACTCCTTGCATTTTTTCCTCAGTTGATCCATGTTCCTGCTTCTTTAACATTCTGAGGTCTCCACTGTATCTTCAGCTTCACACTGAAGACTTTGCACACAGCCCTCTCAGGAGCACGCTGCCTGGCCTCCCAGGCCACCCTCTGAAATCTGGGTGGAAACCTCTTGGACTTCACGGCTGTTACATTCTGCATGCACCTAAAACAAGCACCGTGAGGATGACACCAAGGTCTGCCACCAACTGGAGCAGCAGCCAGGCTTCCTTCTCTCTCAGCTATAGGGTGCAGTGCCTGTGAGCTCAATCCTAAGGAACAACTTCTCCAAGGCACCACCATTCTGAAATGGTGTTTTGAGGGGCTCTTCCCAAAAAAAAATCTCTGACTTATGTAACTCCAAGGCTTCAGAGGCTGAAGTCCTGCTGGTTCTTGTGATGTCCTCAGGCCACCTATTGTTCTCTTGTGCAAAACTTGGCTTTTTTACTAGTTTTGTCAGGGACGAATTTTTCCTCTGGTCCATCTTTTCAGGATGCAACTTTACTTGAGCTTCCTTTCTGGCCAAACTTGAAACATTTTAAATCACTCTTTTGGCCTCTTGGCCCTTAATTCACAACATAAACCTGGCAAAAAGCCTCTGACAGTAGTCATGCCACAGCCTCAACATTACACTGCCTTGAAATTTCTTCTGCCAGATTAATTAGTTTGCTTCCCTTAATCTTAGTTTCAGGCAAAGTCACTGGACACAAGCAAAATGCAGACAAATTTTCTGCGAAGATGTAACACACATTGTTAGGAGTCCAACACCCATTGTAGTCCTTCCTAGCAGAAAATTCCTGATCCTGGTCTTTGTTGGCAGCATTTGTACTGACATTCTGGTCTTTGGAGCTCTGATCAGAATCTCTCATCAAGTGCAGTGTATGGCATTCCATGGCTGCTTCTTCAGTGCACACCTCCAAACCTTTCCAAACTTTTTCTGCAAGCCAGTCCCAAAGGCTCCTAAATCACATGGTTAGGTATAGTCACAGCAATGACTCTAGTGACTTTTCTCTCATCGCTGAAATAAAAATATCCAACACCCAAGGTTAAAGAAGGAAAGGTTTATTTAGCTCAGGGTTTGTAGAGTTTTCAGTTCTTAGCTCAGTTCAAGGCAGGGTGGCATGGCAGAGGGGCACCACAGAGGAGGAAGCAAAGGCAGCAAGCAATAAACAACTAGGAATCCTCTTTCTGTCCTTTATATTTTGTCCAGTCTAGTACTCATGCTCTTAGTCCTAGCATCACACCATGAATCAATCCCAGCATCACATTCTTGACCCCAGCATCATACAGCCTAGACTCAGCCGCCTCTAAAAAGCCCCTCCTGTGATTGCATGAGGTTTTGGGGGACATCTAAATATAAGCTGCTTCTTCAGTGGACATCTCCAAACAGACTCTCCAAATAAGGAGAGCCAATCTAAAAACTTAGAACACAGGGTTTATTGATCCTACATTTACATAACCTTTTTCATCCTCTTCATGACCAAGGGCATTTGCATTAAAAATAATCAAGGTCAAGATTTTCAGTATCATCCAATTGCAACCTTTGACCTTGTCCTGTTTCAGACCCCTGGACCTCCAGTCAGTGCCGAGTCTGCAGTCACCTTGCATTCCAGGGAAGACAGTCTTGCAGGCAGATCACCTCAGGGAGAATCTGGGGCTGACCCCATCTCACAGGACCCTATTGCCTTTTCTGCCCATCAGGACTCCTCTGAAGCCAAGAGCTAGTTCTGAGCTCACCACCAGCCAGTCTACAGCTCAGCCAGGAACATCTAGCCTGCCCACTCTCCAGTCCCCAGGTGTCTATGAACCCCAATCCTTGTCTCTGTCATCTTTTCTGTGAAACCTGGTTCCTTAGCCCCTGGAAGACAGATATTGAACTTGTCTGTGTGTCCAACACAGTTGTGCTGATTCAAACTCCTATTCGACCTCCCCACAGCTGGGTCCTTGATGGCATATCAGGTGGTTGAGCCCAGTCAGTTGGGATCCCAGAACCTGGGCTTTTGCTGAAAATTCCACTGACATTCCTGCAAAACAATGCTCTTCCTCTTTGAAGGGGTCCCAATGCTCACAGTCCCTGGGCACCCCATCTACCTGCTGCTTCACTCACTGGCATAATCTGTGTGGGCCCCAGACACTCATGGCTGGGCCCTGCCTAGAATGCATGGTTTGATGCAATGCACACCTTAGAGGAAGGAAAGGATTTTCCTGCAGACTCACTTAACCATAAATGGAACCTGAGACCTCTTAGAGCACCTGCCATCCTGGCACTGGCCCACCTGCATGCTTGTATTCTCCTATCCAAGGCTGTGAAAATCTATCACTTTGTAATAAACTCTGCTGATACTCTGTATCATAGCCTATGTATCTTACCTGAGAGCTTTCATCAAAGACACAAAAAACTGAGGAATGTCTCAGGCCCCTGCTGCATTAAGACCTGCTTCCCAGTTACAACCCTATGTCCCATGTCTCCCGTGCCTACACAAATATTTGTCCATGAACACAGTGTCCTGGATTGCTACATCCATTTGCATAGATGAGATCCTGTTATTTATATCAATCCCTATGTCTTGCCTTTCTCCTTTGTCAACCCATGGTGGAGACATGTGTAGGTATGTGGGGGTTTGTGGCCTGGCTGTGGAAAGTCATTCAGCCTGTCCTCCACTCCTTCAGTTTTTTAAAGTCTGTTTTCCCCACCAGCAGTGTGGATCATCACCCTTCCAGGCACAACCATGTGCTGTATCTCCAGCACTCTGGCTGCAGGGCATGGCGTGTGCCAGCTAGGTAGAGAGTGCTCTCTTCCTCCCAGAAAGCCTAGTAAACTCTTGTTCTGTGGTTTCATACAGTGGCCCCAGCTGTGCCAGCCTGACCCCGTACCCTCGCCTTGTCCACTCTGAAATCTAGAACCGTAACAGGCACATGGGATACCCAGGTCAGCAGGACCTGCTCAGCTGCTGGCTTGGGTATACTACTGGCTGCAATACTCAGGTCTCATGATGTAGACATAATCCTGGGCTGCTGGGCAGCACCTGGGATGCTGCTCTGGCTGGCAGTTGGGTGTTTACCACTTTTTGGTTTTGCCTTCCTGGTATCTCATTCTTAATCTTAGTTTGCATTTCCTTAACTACTGGCTGAGAATTTTCCATATTCTGATGGCCTGATTTCCATTTCTTTTTCCATGAAGCCCTCACATATGCTCTGCCCATTGTTCTAGAATGTGCTTGTTTCATCAATCTGCAGGAGCTCTTTGCATGTTGCATGTTAATGATTTTCACCCTTCAGCTGGCACTTGTGGTACAGTTACCTTCCCCAGTCTATTACCGCCTCTGACTTTGCTTGTGGTGAATTGTACCATTCCATCTTTAAGAACTTATGTCATCACATGATCCTGCCTTGCCCTCATAACTTCCTGCCTTCTTGGTTTTAAAGTCTCTTTAGTCCACACATGATCCACTGTCTCCTGTCTCCTCTTTCACTCTAGTCTTTACTTTTTTTTTTAATTTTATTTATGTGTGTGTGTGTGTGTGTGTGTGGCCAGCTCAGCCCACCAGGGGGCAGGGCTGACTGGCATGTGGTGCTGGGGGATTGAACCGTGGTCCCTGTGCTTTGCTAAGCTTGTTCCAAGTAGGTGCTTTAGACCACTGAACCATCTCACCAGCCCTCTAGTCTTTACTTATCTGTCTATCATCATGTAGCATTCAGCCTTATCAGGGCCCTCATTCATCCTTCCTATCCTGCAAGGAACATGCACTGTGGGGAATTGGGAGTTTTAAAAAAATTTTATATTTAGTACAAGGTCTACAGGGTCTCACTACATAGATCTGACGCATAGTGATTCTCCTGTTTTCAGCCTCCCAAGTGCTGGGATTACAAAGGCATGTGCCACTGTGCCCAGTCTCAGTCGCCATCTCAGCACGCCCCAGGAGTGGAGCTGGCACAGTATGCTGGTGATCGAACCCCAACTGTTGCACTCTACCTAGACAGGTGTTTTAGTCTGCTGAGCTATCTGGCCATCCCTGGAAATTAGGATTATTTTCCTGGTGTTTCTTTGGAGCCCACAGTCTGCCAAGTGGGGGAGGCTGTAGTGGGACACTAACTTCCCACTATGTAAGGTAGTCCTCAAAACCATGTGTCCATCACTGGATGATCCAACAACTCATCATGTCTAGAACACCATGTTTTCCCTGTCCCCATAGGAGTCACAAATCCCTGTCCAGCATAAAGATACATATTTCATTCTGATCCCCTTGACCACTGACATCAGCAAGTCCCCACCCACCTGTCAATTAATTTCCAGACACCCCTCCTCAAATATAAAATTCTCAGCCTCTTACCCCAAGGGCATGATTTCCTCCCCTGGACTTGCATCAAGCCTCAAGTCGATACTTTTATTTATGATTTTAATTTTTTAAAAATGGAGTGATGTTTTGAGTGACGTTTCCTCTGTTAACTGACAGTCGCAGGCTTCCTCCTCACTGGAGGAATGAATCACAGGAGGCTCTGCTTACACTGAGCTCTCCCGAGTAGTGACTTCCTTGGAACTTGGCGCTCATCACCACACTGCTGAGCTCATTTTAATAGTAACTCTGCTTGGTTTTCAGCTTCCTTTTGCAGCCCAGCTGTGTCCTGTTATAGATTTAGGCTACACTCATGGCATGGAATCAGTTTGGGGGCTGATGATCCATCAGAGGCTCTGGAAAGGTCTGCTAAACCCAGGGCTCATGCTGCCACTTCTCCCACTTGAAGTTTCATCAGCTGCTGGGATGGAACCTGGCCTGTTTTCTACAACTTCTTGTAAATTTACATTTCCATGGCTTTAACTATATGTATTTCTTTTACCTTATCTAATATTGCTGCCTCACAATTACTCTGTTTAAAAATTCTTTTTAATGTCATCCCTTTCTTTTCTCCATGCATAATTCTGGGACTGGAGATGGACCCCAAGGCCACACGCATTCACAGTATGAGCTCTGCATCCTGCTCCTCTCTGGTCCTCCTGCTTTTCCAGTAACCCAAGGAGGAGAGACGTTCCCAGATGTTTCAAAGAATCACATTTTTTATTTATTGTCCTCTAATTTTTGTTTATGTGGGTCTTGGTATTTGTACTCCATATTTATTTATTTATTTATTTATTTATTTTTTGGCAGAACTGGGGATTGAACTCAGGCCCTTGTGCTTGCCAGGCAAGCACTCATTCTACTGAGCCATCTCCCTGGCCCCTGTACCCCACTTTTAGGACAGGAAAAAGACTCTGGAGGTCCCCAGTGGTAACCCAAGATCCAGAATGACAATGGGAGGCAAGAGGCTCCTCCCCATGCCCCCTCTCACTGTCCCTTCCTCTTCTCTGTTCTCAGGCTCCGCCTTGCCTATGGTAACACTCTGTGCCCCTGGCCAGGTGCTGTATGGGGGCTGGCTGCGCTGGGCAGGTTCTTCCCACCCGGAGGGGCGTGGGGCTCCTGGGAGTGGAGTCTTCTCTGGTGGGGCCTGTACAGGGGCATCAGTCATCCCACCTCCTTTCTGGGACCTTTCTTCCTAGGGTAGAGGGCAGGAAGCCTGTCACCACCTACCTGGATGGCAATGGGCACAATTTTGTTGGCCAGGTTCTTGTACAGCAGGCAGATGGGTGCTGCCAGGAACTGGAGTGTGCAGGGGTCGGTTTTGTTGGCATCAATGCCATCTAGCAGCTCATAGTCCACGATGAAGATGTTGCCCTCCTGTGGGAGACAGACAGGCTGAGTCACTGTCCATGGAGGAGACCCAACATGGGAAGGGGTGGGCAGGGCTGCTGCTCTCTGGCAGACCCTCTCTCCATTCAGTTCAGGAGTAGTTTCAGGGTCATAGAGAGGCCACTCTCAGAAGCCATGACAGGTAAGTTCTGGGGTGTGAACACCACAAGCCACTAATGCCTAGAGTGACACCAGTGCCAGCTGCAGGAGGCACCCTCAGGGAACACTGGGAGGGTCTGTGACAAGGGAGAACATGGTTGGGGTGGCACCATCACCACTGCCTAACTTTGTGCATGCCCCTCACTCCTTCCCACCTTCCTCTCCTCTTTCCTCCTTTCCAGGTGTGTGTGGCATGAATGGGCCCAGCATGCATGGGCACAACATGGAGTCCCCTCTCTCCATTTCCGTGGGAGGGAGGAGCTGCCCATTCCAGTCAGTAGCAGTCCCCAGTGTGGTCGTGCAGGGCACCTGGGACCCAGGTGGGAGCAAGACTGACTCAGGTGTGTCCCTTGTCCTGAGCCTGCCGGTCACCCTGCTAGACATCTCTACTGACCGCAGCTCCATTACCCTGGATAGCCTGCCCTGGGACCTCCTGGCCAATGATCCCCACTCTGCGTGTTCTGACTTTTTCAGCAAGGGTCTGTCTTGGGACACCAGTTGGTCAGGAGGATGGGGAGCATCTGAGACCATAGGCAACAGGGTCTTCCTTTCTGGGAGTGGGTGATGTTTTCTAAACTGGTGGAAGCTGAGTCTGAAGCTAGTATCACTGAGGGAGGAGACCCTTCAGGATAATCCCCCAGGGGCAGAACAGCAGGGAGAGAGAGGGCCAGTCTTTGCCTCCTCCCCTTGGGGTTGTGCCTGAGCCTAATGCTTTCATAGCTGCCTTCACCCAGACACTTTTTGGGTTAAGCCAGACTGAGTTCATTTTTGTAATTCAAAACCAAAGAACCTAATATAAAGTCAAAGACATACAGCAGTCTTAAAGAGCTGCAGCATCAATCAAAACTAACAGCAGCAATAGGTAAATTATTGTGTATAAGTAAAAGAGGAAATTTCTTTACTTGTGTTTCAAAAATAAACTGCACAGTTAAAGACAAAACAAAACAAGTTTTAAGTGTTTTAGCAGGCCACAGCTTATCACAGACTCTAAAGAGAGGTGGTGGGAGTGAGTGGGAATTAAGTATTGTGCCTGGTAGGGAAAAGGGGACAGTGGAGAGATGGTCAGTGTGTATGCAAGGGACAGTCCTGTGGCTGGTAGATTCCTGGACTGTTGCCCAAGATACCAACTACAGATGAGCATCAGGACCAGAAGGGGGCAGCTCAAAGGGAAATATCCTCCACTGCACCTCCTCTGGGAGTCCCAGACAGCCCCAGGGTGAGGCTGTGTCTCTCTGGGACCAAGGAGGCTCTTCTACATGGTGACTGGGGTCACAGATGGCTGCCAGCTCTCTTTTATGGCTCTGTGATTCTTTAAAGTTTGAAACCTACAATTACGAAATCAAGCTTCCTGTGTTCATCAACTGGATCTGCAGAGGAATGCTGCTCAGGGTGGGTGTGTGCTGGGTGGCGAGACGCTTCATCATTCTGGGAGCAGTGAGGACAGACAGCGGGGTGATAGCGCAGGCTGATGCTGGGGGCATCAGTCTCCTGGGACCCCAGAGTGGAAAGTGCCTGACACTGGGTCCCACCTGATGCAGGAGGAATGGGCTTGAATCTGCTCCAGCTGCTTGGAACTGACAGGTCAGGAAAGGCTAGAGAGGCTGGGGTAAGAGTAATACCAGTTTTTCAGACTAAAGAGTTTAAATTCATTCTTTTCCACTTGTGTTTTTGCAGGAAGCCTGCTTCTTTCTCTGGCTTTCTCACAGGTGGCTAGTGATTTGAAGACTGTGTGCGCAAAAGCCTTGTTGCATGCCTGGCCCACCACTGGCCCCTCGCTGGGGGAAGCACTTGTAATCGTTGACCTTGATATTGAAAATTGGAGAATTAAGTTTCTAGACACAAGCACCATGGAGAACAGCCCTTCTGAGCCTGTTCTAAGAGAACCAAGGAAGCCTATCCATGCCTAGGACCCTCATGAGCACCTCTGCCAGGAAGATGAGGAGGCTGCCATTCTTACAGTGTCATGCTGGTGGGCAGCTAGACAGGCCTGGGGGTGGTGCCTGGGGACCGGCTGGTGAAGGAGGTGGCTTTTAAGACCCCACCAACAGGCCCTACCTGGATCTCCTGCTCCAAGGTGAGCTGCCGCTCCAGGCTGCACTCCACCATGTCCGTGGTCACTGGGAGCTTCGGGGGCAGCTGTGTGCAGCGCCGGATGAGAACAGGGTTGCAGCCATTCAGGAACTGGTAGCCAAACATGAGGTCCTCCTGCCAGTGCTTCATGACACGCTCTAGGGAGGAGGCCAGGTCACAGAGCTTGAGCAGAGTGCACTAGGGCCATAGTCCTGCAGATGCTGACCCCAAAACAGACCCTCCATGGGTCCCCTCTCCTGAACATTGTAGCATCAGCTGGTCACAGGCTACACCTGCCATGCCCTGCCACTGTGGAGACCACCTATTAGGCCCTGATGCTATCTGTCCTACCTTACTGGCCATTGGTGGCTCCAGTGTTTGGGGTACCCAATCCTCTCAAATTTCAGCTCCTCTCAGCATGAGGGTGCACTGGGTTGGCATAGCCCAAGGCACTTTCCTGTGTTCTCTATACCTCCTTCCTTAGTTCCTGTGGTCAACGAGTCTGTCTGATGCCGCCACTGCCCACTGTGATGCCACACTGCCAAGAACACTGTCATGGCTTTGTGCTTGCATGTTCCCTTATAGCCTCATGTAGGGCTTCTGCGAGGTGACTGGATTGTGAGTGTCATATGCATCAGATTAGTCCACTACTGAATTTATAGTTAGTGTGATGGGGGAAGAGGAGCCTGGTGGAGGAGGAGGAGCCCTGGAGGTGTGACCTGGCCGGATCTGCTTTCCTCCCCTCCTCTTTGACCTCTCTCTGCCTCCTGAATGCCCCTGGCGGTGCCTCCTCTGCCTGGCTGCCTTGAGTTTCAGGGCAGTTTCTAGTCAGTTTCAGCTGACTAGACACAGAAACCTCTACCCTCTGTGAGCCAGGACCAACCTCTCCTCTTAAGGCTATAGGTGTCGTATTGTGTTTCAGCAATGAAAAGAAAATAAGACACAACATTGTGGACCAAAGTCTCCAACATTAAAGACCAAGCATTTCTATGCAAGGCAAGTCTTGCCTTGGCTGGGATCACAAGCACCACTGCTGGCTGATTTGTGTGAAGAAAATGTTCTGTTGTTTTGAGTTTTCTGATGATGAGATGAGGTTATGGGTGCTAGAGATGGAATGTCGCACTGGGGCCTCTGTGTGTGAGGGTGACCAACTGTGAGGAGGGTGGCATGGGGCATATGGATGCAGGCCAGGGTGACCCTGGTGAAGCCTGCATAGGTCTGAGCTGTGGTATGTGGAGCACCCAAGCCAGTCTCCTGGAAAATCCAAGACAGGGAAACTTGACCTCTGTTCTGTCCCCAAACCCTAGGGCCCCATGTACACTCACCGGAAATGGTGTTGCTGATCTTGACAAAGATCTTTTCAAAGTCAGCAAAGTCATGCCAGGAAGACTGGAACATGTGCATGAAGCGGTTGATGAACAGGTTCTCCATCCTGCAGACAGACAGGGCAGCACTCACATGGTACCACACCCCAGGCCACAGGTGGGTAGCTGCTTTGTAAGGCCAGGACATACCCACACCTACATGGCTCTTGCCTGTGGAGAGGCCAGGCAGGTGCCCCCGGAAGAGCTCGTAGCTGGACTCTGTCCTCACCCACACTCATCCCCATCCCTTCCCCACCCACATTTTGCTCCATGGAGTCAGCTCCAGCCCCACTCATCCCACTCATCCCCAGACATCTGCAGCCACCCAGCAGCCAGTTCTGCATGAGCCTGCAGGGGGCAGCTGCTACCCAGAACCTGACTGTGGGGATGTGTAGGTCACTCACTTCCTGCCTGGACCTGGCTCTGGGCCTGGTTCTGGGCAGGATATGAGCTCAAACCCACATCATGTTAGGATGACCTAGCAGGAACTAGGCAGGAGCTTGCCAAACTCACACACAGGCTGCAGGTAACAGAGGTGAGATGTGTGGGATGAATCCAGGAAAGGTACAGAGGATCCAGCCTTCCCCAACCCCCTACACATCTGTGTGGGGCAGGACAGAGGCTGGGCAACCTTGGACAAGCCTCACTGGGAGGCACTTTGCCTCAGTTTCTGTCTGAAATGCACAGCAGACAGGAGAGGAAGGAGGATAGGAGACACATGAATATGTGGTCGGGCCAGGTGGGAAGTTGAATGGCTCCCTGCAAAATCTGAAGTTGAGTTCTCAGTCCAGAGTGGACCTGGATGATGGGGCAGAGGGCTGAGACATGTCAACTCTGTCATCCCAAGAGAAGCACCCTGCAGTCATGTGTGAGGCAGTTAGTAAGGCAACCAGCAAGGCAGGCTATATACTGGAAAGTTATAATGTATTAGGTAGAATTATTTGGGGCTTATTTGGGCATTGAGTATGGTTTCAAGGAGAGGGGTTGAGTGTGACATTAAGAAGGCTTGGTGGCTAGGGAGCCACCGGGGGTTCGTGGTGCATACTCCTGAGCATGTCCGGGTGAATCAGAGGAATGTGGTCCTCGGCTCTATGTCTGGTCCCTGCCCTGTTCCTCTCCAGCCCTGGTCCTGCTCTGCTTACTGGCTGCTGTGCAGTGAGTGGCATCCCTCCCTCATGCCTTTCTGCCATGATGCTCCAGCCACAGAGCCAGCTGTCTCTGGACTGAATCCCCAGAAACTGTGAGCCAAATCAAGCCTCCCCTCCTTAAGTCAGGTGCTGTTTCTCAGCGATAGGAAAGTGATTGACTAGTCTCCCAGTCTCTGGAGCTTGCATCTCCTTGACTGGCCCTCGTGGGCAGGAAAGCACATTCCAATCTACTACTCAGGCAGGAAGAGTGACCTCACCCAGGGGCCCAGCAATGTGATATCCCAGCCCAGCCCCTGTGGACCTGGCCACTTCATCCTTGGACCAGCCCCTGGGCATAGCCCCTGTGCAGCTGGAGGAGTCAGACCCTGAGGTGTCCCTGCGGGGTAGAAAGGACTTATTTCTGTGGGAGGAGAGGTCTTCCAGGCCACTTATACCCTGCTGGGGCTTGAGGAGAGCCTAGCCCCACATGTGCCTGGTAATGAGGCTTTGTGTAGGACCCCCACCCTAGGGAGTTTTGGGGAGCTGGGGTGAGTCACAGTCTTCCCAGCTGGGGCACTCTGACCCCAAGATGCAGGTTGCACAGAAGTGGGCAGGATGTGGTCATCCTTAGGGGAAGCCACAAACCCAAGGAGAAGTGCAGTTGGGAGGGGAGCATTTGCCTGGCATCTGGAAGCCAAGTTCTTCTGTGTACGTATGGACAAGCAGAACGCTTAGGACTTCAAAGACCTGTGTTTGCACAAAAAGGAAGCTGTAGCCTGGACATCACACCTGGATGGTTCAAAGGGCACAGCCAGGCAGTGTCATAACTAGGTGACAGCCTGGCAGGTAACAATATAGCTGGCAGGTGCCTCTAGGCCCATCCTATAGCCTTTTCCTGCATGGAACCTGGCCTGACCAGCTGTGACCAAGCATCCACTTCCTCCTGCTGTGCTCCTTTCTCCAAGTTCTCCTTTCCCATCTCAAGATTCTGCCTTTGGGGTAGAGACAGAGCTCACGGAGCAGGACTGGCCATTTCCGGGCACTGCAGATGGCTTGGAGGAAATGCTTATTTCCCACAAGTGGCCCAAAAGCCAAGCTGCCAGAATAAGGGCTTGACAGGAAAGGGCTCCACAGTGACCTTGGCAACGCGTTTTAGTTTTGCACCAGGGTGGGGAACCTGCTTGACCACAGCAGGGCCCATTGCCCAGCTGGCCCAAGGGACAAAGCCTGACCACAGCTTTCAGCACCCCAGAATGGGATCTTGTATCTAAATGTCCCCATTCCCCTGCCATGTGCACAGGGTCTGAGCATGGACACTGGTAGGCAGGCCAAGCAGGCATAGGGCCTTTCCCTGGAGCAGGTCAGCACCAAGCACCAGGCTACCATCCCACCACAGGGCCTGCGGACCAGTCCCAAACCTCACTGTGCTGTCACCACATTTGTCAAGTGCACCGGAAGTGTGCTGCTGGCCACAGGGCCAGCTGGACATCCACAAAGCACAGGAGTGAACAGATTGACTGCATTTTCACTTCCTGTTAAGTCTGTAGCCCTAGCCCTGTGTTCTGGGACCCAGTGATGAAGGTCACATTGCCCAGCAGCCACCTTCCCCTAGGCTTTCTCATATGTCTTCTCCTTTATCTCCCCCACACCAGTCCTTCACCTGAGGACCCTTTCTCTGCCCCCTTGGAACCAGTGCCCAGGGTAACCACAGCTATAGGCCCTAGTCAGTGTGTAGCCCCTGGCTTGGGAGGGACATATGACCACTGGCCTGGCCTTTCTTGACATGCTGAGTGCCAATTACCATGGTCGTAGCTGTCCCAGCACACGCTGGCCTCTGTACCACCTCCTGCCTCAGAGCCTTGACCACACAGCCCTATTAAGGCCTCAGCTTAGTGCTGCACTGCCAGGGAACTCATGGTCTCAGGCTGTCTCTTCTACACTTCACTCATCCACCCAGGGTGGACCTACCCAACGTGCACAGCTGCTTTCAGTGACCCATGTCCTCCACCCCAGCCCTGGTCCCCCTCCTGCCCTGTCCTTTGCTGCTGCCCAGCCTGTCCTTTCTGTAGTACCCTCCTCACAGTTGTTCTCTCCTCCCTTTTTACATCTGCACCTTCCACAGAGCCCACACAGTGTCGCCCTCAGGTCCCTCTAAGCTTGGTAAAATCACTCTGAATCTGCACCACGCCTAAGCACGCCCGGCTGTTTTTGAATCAGCCCTCCGTGACTCTAACACCTGCTTTTTGTTGATTTTAGGTGACAACTGCAACAGGATGTTCAGTCCAGACATTGTTTCATACTTAAGAGTGCTCAATTCACAGATAGAATGCAAGGACATGGCCCACAGGACAGCACAGTCCTCGGGACATGGACAAGGACATGCACTCCCAACACCACACCATCTGTCTATCAGGGTGAGCCGAACCTTGGACACTTCTCCTGGGCTCAGTCCCCTCCTGTGCAGTCCTGCACCACAGGAAGGAAACTCTGTCTCAATGTGCTTCAAGCTGGGCTGCACCTTATCAGCCTGGATGTGGGCGGTAAGTACACAAGGTGCTCCTCCTGAAGCCACCAGGAAATGTCATAATCCAGCTGTCCTGTGAGCGTGGCCAGACTCTTCCCACCCCACAGTGCCTGTCTGTATTTTCCCAACCAGTGATGATGTAAGGCACTCTCAACAGCAAGGCCTTCCTGGCCCATGAATGAAAGAACATCAGTGGAAGAAGCCCCTCGAACTCTTGGGTGTGGTCTGTTGGCACTGGGGGAGGTCAATGTTCTTGTCAGTCTCTAAAGTGTACAGATTTCCCTTGGCATGGCCCTGCCACCCTTGGGTGGACCATATTTAACTCAGGGTCTCAGGTCTGGTTACTTTAAGGATGGCCTGCAAAACCATCCTTAAAGTGGCAGCACAGAACTCAGTATCTGCCACTTGTCCTCAAGAGGCCTTTAGGGTGGTGCTGGAGCAACCTCCACAAGTTTCTCAACTACAGAGTGAACAATGACTGTCCTACCTCCTGGAGCACTGTGATGGGTGGACAGGGATGCCTAGCACCCATCAGCACTGCACTTGGTGTGCTCTTGGCCATGGTTCAGGCCCCCAAAGGGCATGGTGGTGACAAAGCATTCTCTCTAGATACCTGGCATTGGAGTCTCCTGGCCTTGACCATGTGGACACAGGTTGGATGGACTGGTTGCCACCCAGGTCCAGGTCCTGTGGGATGTCCAGGCTGGGCCTGATGCCTCTGCCACAGCCACTACAGCACTTGGAAACTCACGCTTTGGAGTAGTTCAGGACGAAGTCCACGCCTTTTTCACTGTCAAACTGGATGTCACGGGGTAAATCTTTGTGGCATTTGGCATCTATACTCAAGGGGAAGCCTGGGTTCCACTCCATCCACCTAGTGGGCAGAGAAGAAGCAATCCTTGTTAGAGCCAGGTGTGCATTAGCCCAGAAGCCAAAAGTGGTTTGTGCTGTCACTGATATCTCCATGACATGGTTAGTGTGACATGGTCAAGGCTGACTCAGCATCCACTGTTTGCCTTTAAGGGAAAACGGAAACAGTGCACCTGTGCAGAGGGCAGAGGAGAACAAAGCCTTGGAGACCTCCCTCACTGGATCCAACCCTGTCCCCCAGCAGGGTCTACCATGCCCACCCAGGAGTGTGTTGTCTGCCAAGTCACCCAGCCTGGATGTCAGCTTGGTCAGTGTGCCCCTGAGCTGTGTGCTTGTCTTGCTCATAGTAATCAGGAAGCTCTTGCCCCTACACAACAGGCCACCAAAGCATCAGGGGGTGTGGGTGGAGACCTCGAGCAGACTGCCAAGGATTAGAGACTGTTGCCATGGAAACAGCCCAAATCCAGTAACAATGCTAACATCTAGTGACCTGGGAACTTATCCTGCAGCACTGGACATTCCTCTTTTACTTTTCTTTTGGTTTGTTTATTGACCAAACTTGAGCTATAAAAACAAAACAAAACAAAACAAAGCACTATTGATTTATTTGAGGAAGGGGAAAAGAGTTTGTGCCTGTTGAAAGTCAGAATTTATATGCCAAGGTTTCTTACTTTTTTCCTTTACATTCCTGCCTTAATTTTCAAACATCTTCAGGAGGAAGATTTTCCATTATTAAAAGTCTTGTGCATTTTCAACTGAATCTTGTGCGTTTCCCACCACAGAGGTCCCCACTGTTTCCCACAGTGTCCCTGGCCCAGTGAGTCTCTCTGGTTCATGACAGGCAACCAGGAACTGGACAGCATCACTTAGGGACAAGGGGTTTTGGGATTCATCCTAGTGTTATGCAGCACTGGGGCATTTGGGATGCGTCCCGAGGGTGCAGCCCCTTGCAGGTCTCTCTCACTGTGACTTGCTGTGGCATGCTGCTCACCTAGGTGTTAGGAACCCTGCTTGCTGCTTTGCTTGTATGCTGGCAGCAACATGCACAAGTGTGCATAGCATTTCCCTTCGTTTCCTTAGGAAGCAGAGTAGGCATCTCCAAAATATACGTAATCAGGGTCAGTGCTTCAGGGAGCTTGTCCAGTTACGGGAGGAACTGTCCCTGCCTTAACCATTGCCAGACAAAGCAATTGCAGTGTCCTGATGGGTGCCTCCTGGCCACTGGGCAGCTCAGGGGCACAAGTGAATTTCCTTTTCTTCTTTTCTTTTCTTCTCTCTTCTCTCTCTCCTCTTCTTTCTCTCTTTCATCTTTCTTTCTTTCAATCTTTCTTTCTCATTCCCTCCCTCCCTCTGTCCCTCTCTCAGTCCTTCCTTCCTTTTTTTGAGACAGAATCTCACTTTCTAGTCCAGTCTGGCCTTGAACTCACTATATATCCCAGGCTGACCCCAAAGTCCAGGTGATCCTCCTGCCTCAGCCTCCTGAGTGGTTGGGATTACAGGTGTGTATCACCATGTCTGGTTCATTGATGGTTTTTAGAGCTTATTGGAGCTGGAATTTCTCGGGTCAACAAAAGGCCAGCAAGGGCACAGATGCCTACAGTGACATCTATGTCTTGGTGAAGTTTTCTTGGAACAAGTTCAGCTCCTTAACCTGGCACAGACAGAACTGTCCTTGCCACTACCCCAGGCTCCTCAGATGCATCCCACACAGGCAATGATGACATGGGGTTGGTGTAAGGAAAGGAGATGATAGGGCCTCCACACAGGGACAGAGCAGTTGGCTAAATTCCCATGACCCTTCCTTGGTGACCTGAGAGAGACTCTGATGGGCTTCTCCATGGGAGCCACAGGCCTTTGCACCCACAGACATAAGAGACAGGTCCTCAGGGTAGGCAAATCATGCACTTCAATGTAGAAAGACTTCCCACCACCACAAAACATGATTTATAAATTAAGATCCCAACAAAGAAAGGAAAAAAAAGAACAGTTACTCTGAGACCTACTTGGTCACCTGGAAGACAAACGTCTAATTGCAATGTATATAGGTTTTGATCGCCTCTCACGAGCTGAGACAGAAGGGGCTATAACCCAACACAAAAAAGCACCAAGACCAGGAACACTGAGCCAGACAGAGGTGCAGCTGGCTACAGGAGATGGAAGATATGAAGAGCAAGAGTGCCTTAAGGAAAAGGAGAAAGAGACCCGGAAACTACGTAAGCAAAGAAACAGAAGAGAAAACTCCTGGAGCTGAACAACAATTCTGTTTCCTGGGTTAAGTCCTGGGTGGAAAAAAAAAATGATTCAACTGTCATCAGAGTTCTCACTGTTCATGTTGAAAATGGGATGACAGCATGATATTTTACAGAGTTTGTTTTTAGACCATACTATTACATCAAGTAATAATTGAGAACAGGTTCAGGTGTGAAGCTGCCCAGGCACATTAATGACAAACAAGTTCAGCGGAACAAAGATTAGGTTAGAATGAACCATGAAATACCCAAATTTTATAGTAAAGTGTGTTTGTTAGGAGATAGCAAATATGGTATTCAGCATACAAATAAAAATTGGAGATGGCTCTTTGTCTTTAGTACTATTGCTTGTGGGAATTCCAGATATAAAATAAGAAGATTCATGGTAGAAATAACGGAAAATAAGAGACAAGCATACTGTCTAACAATATGACCAAATAGCTAGGCGACCACTGAGGTCCCTGAAAGCAAACATGAGTAGGGCCAACTGAGTCACTGAGTATGGCACAAAGTAATGTGAGGAAGTAGTTTATCTTTATCTCAGCAATATTTATTTGCAAACAGAGTAGCAGGTATAATACCCCTTGTCACAAAGTGACTACAGAGATGACAAGAAGAAAGCTGGAACTCCTACTGAAGAACACTGCTTGAGAATCAAACAGGTAGAAAGATGTCAGATGTGAAGAGCTGGCCAGATAGCTCAGCAGAATAATGTGCCTTCTTAGGCAGAGCGCAATGGCTAGGGTTTGATCCCCGGCTTGCCATGCCAGCCTTGCCCCCAGGGTGCACTGAGATGGCAATTAAGATTGGACGTGGAAGCCCACACCTGTAATCCCAGCACTTGCAAGGCTAAAAATAGAAGAATCACTATGAGTTTGATCTACGTAGTGAGACCCTGTAGACCCTGTAGACTCTGTACCAAATATATAAAAAATAAATTAAAAAAGAAAGATGTCAGATGCTTTTGGGTGGAAATACTGAATGTCACCAAGATGACACAACATGATTTGACTGTGCATAATTCAGAACATTTGGGATCATGAAATAGAAAATTCATCTAATTATAAAACAGATTCTCACATGTGTTAGAAAGTTATGATACTCCAAAGCACAGCTGGGCTCTGGAGGAGCAAATCAGGCTGCCTCCAAGTTGAGAGGCAGCTCTAACAAGCTACTTACTTTATTGGCCACCCAGCCCCAGACGGTTTATTATGGAAACACAAACTAGATGGACACAGGGAGGCACTATTATTGCCCCATTTGAAAGAAGAAGGAATTAGGGCACAGACAGATGACAAGACTTTCACAGGATACATAGTGAAGTGGAGCTGAGTCCAGCACATGGTGCCACTGTGTGCTATGGGGTCACCTCAAAGCCAATCATTGTTATTTTTTAGTTTCTGCATGATTCCCTTCTTTTTCTTAATTGATTAAAAAGATCACCAAGCTGACATAGCATACCATGAACCTCTACAGAAGGAATACCAGATAGCTCAAGCAAGTCTCACATGCACGGTTCCACAGACCCTCCACAGTCCAGGCCACACTGACTGTTCAGCACAATTCTTCCCATCCCTCATCTTGGAAGGAATCATAAACACAAATGTTTCCCAGGAACAGTGTAGGGGGAAGGAGGTCTGCAGGCAGAGGAAGACTAGAACAAAGGTCTTGTTAGACTTTGTGGCTAATCATGACTAGAAAGAGTTGAAACTTTACCAGAGGGACCAATTAATAAGACAAGAGGAGAATCAGACAGGCAGAGCACAGGAGAAGCCAGATACAGGAAACACAGTAGTCCATTCTTACCTCTGATAAAGTACAATAGATACAAAAAGGGGAAGAGGCTATTAACTGAAAGGAAAACTATATAAAACATATTCACACCTAGGCTCTTATGCATACACATGGATTCTCATTCTAGGGCCACTATATTGCTGTGCCAGGTAAAGAAGCATCTCACTCCTTAATCACTGACTCCAAGGAAGTTTGTCTGTAAGGCTCCCCTAACCAAATTATAGATCTCAGAGATAAAGCCTGAAAATGACAAAGAGGTGAGGAAAATTGAAACAAAACCCACTCAGGAATGTGCACACAGGCAGTGATGCCTGGGTTTGGGTCCAAAGGCCTGGGTCCATCTAAGACAGCTCATGGAACCCATCAGGTTGTGACAAGTTCCAGATATTACCTGGGAGAGAGGGTCTTAATCACCTGAGAAAAGGCTGGGGCCAAAGGTCCAAGAGCATCTGTTTCTGGGCTACTTTTCCTCATCTCACACAGGGCAGCTTTCTGTCTCCTTTATTTTCCTTCTTACAAATACAGTGAAGTGTTTTCCCCTTTAAACTTTGTCCCTTTAATTCATTATTGATTCTAGGTTTATGATCCTAGTAGGTTGCTTGTCCCACAGAGCTGTGGTACACTGCACACCCCTGGACATGACACAGACACAAGAAGTAGGTGAAAGAAACCTCAAGACAGGCCTACAGGTTCAGACCGGGGAGGCCATGCACAATACCAGCAACTCCTTGTCTCTATCACCCAGCACAGCTGAGCTGCCTGGTTCCTTATAATCTAATTTAGGAATATTTA